CAGAATTATTGGTACGTATTTAACATCCTCTTCCGTGAGGACGGGCAAAAAGTTTCTGGAAAAACGCACGATGATCCTCCACCGTGCGCAGACTGGACCCATTGGCTTTCTTTGCAGCGAGATCTCGGTGAGGGTTCTGAGGAATTGTTCGAATTAGTACCAGCTGCTAAGTTTCACATCGTACCACCCGCCAGAAACTAACTACTAACATTCAGATCATCTGGATGGCTGGTGCTCCTCCACTATGCAGTTTTCTAAAAACTATTTGTTAGTTTTTGTTTGTATCAGCCTGTATGTTTTCTATGTATATTTAAGAATATTTTTTTATTATACCCATAACACAAGCTTTGGTTAGACTGGGTGATGCTATGTATTATTTCTATTTCTTTTCCAGGTCTAGACCCGGCACGTCCTTTAATCAGGTCTGCGCCTGCCCTACGTCTAGACCCGGGGGATGCCCGCGCAGTGCACGTGCTGCACACGAACGCCGGCCGATATGGCGAGGCTGCAAGACTTGGTCATGCCGACTTCTGCCTCAACGGTGGCCGTAGTCAACCTTACTGCGAAGACACCCTCAGTACGTTTACAATTTATTATCATCGACCCCTGCTGGTATAGCGGTTAAGCATACTGTCTTAATGTTCAATTGTCATGAGTTAGAACCCCGTGCAACACAATTTGTACCTGTTGTAAGAGACAAACTTCTTAGCATTCTATGGGTTCTACGTGCGCGAACCGGGTCCATCGTATGGCAGAGAGGAAGCAGTTTCTTGGGACTTGGGACACGAGTGTAGATTTACGGTGGGACGTACATTGTTGATTAAAAACACAAGCAATGAAGGTGAATGTTGACTCATCTTCATTGCTCGTGTTTCTCTCCCTGCCCAGCTAAATTTAGTAGGAGCGGATTAGGTTTGCCAGTAGATTAGGTAGGATGCAGATTTAGATTCTAGTATGACAACCCTAAATTACTACCCGAAATGTTCACCCTTACCATTTTTTAATAGCAATATTAGTAGTACTTTAATAATCTCCTACTCTCTGCGGCTGTTGAAATCTCTTTGCACATTTTTATATATTTATTTTTGTGTTTGTTTTGAATGTCCTTTTTTTACAGTTATACAATTATCTGTTACTACTACTGTTTGTACCTATATGCAAATATTTTTACAATTTTTGTCCATTGTTTCATTCGTCTCTAACAGTCCACTTGTTCTATCGCCCTCAGGGGTCGATAAATGATCAATTTATATGGTAAAACTACGTTTAGCCGGGTCAGATACCAAAAATATACTATTCCGCAGACGAGGCGTTGTGCAGTCACGTGTGGTCGGTCTGCTACCAGGCGGAGAGTCTGTTCAAGTCGCGGGAGGCTGTCCCGTGCGGCCGCCGGTGTTCAGTGCGGGTGCCTCCGTCGCGGGCCTCCGCAATCCCAGTACCACTCGGACAACCCGCACCCATGACGTTAGTACTCTATATATTTATTATCTATGTACCTCTATTTGTGCATTTGCGCATTAGTTTTAATCTTAATCTATACATATAAATAAAATTGGAGTGTCTGTTTGTAATATTGATATAACCGTCTTTTACTACATGCATATGAATATAAATACGGTACATACACCTATTTTACAATTTTTGTCTGTCTGTCTGTTCCGGGCCCGGCTAATCTTTGAAATGGCTGGACCGATTATGACGGGACTTGTTTTGGCAGGTAGCTGATGTACTTTCATTTTAGAAAAATAAAGTTATATTCCACGCGGACGAAGTCGCGGGTACAGCATATTATAAACGCAAAAGTATGTAAGTATGGATGTTTCTTACTCTTACACGCAAAAACTGCTGAACGGATTTTGATGAAACTTTACAGTATTATAGCTTATGCATCAAAGTAACATGTAGGCTATATTTTTTATTGAAATTTGACGCGGGTGAAACCGCGGGCACAGCTAGTTAGTATATACCTTTGCCTCTAGGTGTTAAGTCCGCCTAATTACATCAGTGGTCTAGTATCCGTAACACAAGCTTTCTTAGTTTGTCATTAGTTGGCGCTGTGTGAATTGTCTAGTGGTTATTATTATTGACATTTGTCATTATTACTACCATCACCATTTCAACCATACTCATTTATACATTTGCTTAACATCCGTTAAAATCAAATTATGTTTCATACATTGTATATTTTTTATTTCATTTTATTGATATATCTCTTGTACACAGTTTTAGAATTCAACAATGAACAAGTAAATATCACGTACAACTTGACATTACTCCAACTTTTTGTTCTGCTAGTGCTTCAGGCGCCTACTGTATCGAAGATTTCGCGACGCCATTCTGTCCGAGCACCACAGGACTCGCGGAAGGTGACCGTCGCTGCTGTCTAGACGATCAGTACGCGGCTGCAGCTACCACAACGCCACCGACCAGAAAACGGCCGCGACCACTCGTCAAGCTCCGCGCTAACAGGGTGAAAACTGGCCTCGACAATGTAGTGCCACATGATTAGTGAATATTAGTAGTAAAAATATTAAAAACTGGATCGAAACAGCGGTCAGGTATGCGACAATTTAGGGTTATAAGTAAAATTTTGGTTTGGACAGAAACCGAAAAAAAAAAACTGAAACGTGTTTTGTTGATAATTTTCAAAGTCGGTGTTAATTTTACGAACTGGTTGAATCGAAAGGAAAAATTAGATAAGAGACTATCTTTTTTCGTGTAGAAATACCCATAATATATGTACAAAACATATATACTATAATAAAGATCTAAACATGTTTCGTTTATATATGACTATATGTAGGTATCAACCAGCATCTTTCATCCATATAGGTATACTTATACATTTTTCCATTTACAACGTTAAGTTGTAAATATTTATGAAGTTGTATACGTTTATACTTTGAATTTACAAAAGGAGAATCAACTGAACTGATTCAAATTAAATTGGCTAGGGGTAAATTGTAAATAATTATTTAAAAAAGGGTCTAGATAATAACGGTGAAATGAATTAGACGCATAGTCGCAGGTAACAATTAGTTTGGTCAAAAGCATACTTTATTTCCCAAATAATAAGTTTGAGAATATAAATGTACAGATAGCGTGAAACAAAGTTCAGGGGGCAGTCGAAGAAAAGTTCAAAATATGTAAGTTCTATAGTATATAAGGATGTACATAGCAAGAATTATACCTATCCTTAATTATATCCTAAAAATACATTTGTAAAATTGTAGCAATGTTACCATCAATTCCTGTTTGAGACTTGGACAATTTTTTGTGGTATAAAGTTGCGCTGTTAAATATCTTGATATGTAAGCTAAATACTATTTATCTTTATTCTTCTACAAATAAAAAAGATCTGTTGTTTATTTTTTTTAATTTATACATTTATAGCGTCCGTTCAATATGCATTTGTCCATATTTATGTAACAGTATTTAATTTAGACTTTAGATAATTACTTAATAAGTAGGCTAAGAAGATTTTTACCAATAGATATTAAGCCAAAGAATCTACTCTTTACCTGCTTATTGTTGAATAAATACTTAAAAAACCATTCATGTATTTTTTTTACATTACGCCTGCGGTTGCGACTTGTTATTGTTTATTTACGTTTAGGTTATTTGTTAAATCGCATGAAGTAGGTGGATAAGAAAATTGTTAGAAATAAGGGTTCTTTACTCCATTGCTATCAATTATCTATGTAAGATCGACCTCCACGCGGTTCTCTCTGGAAAATGTGGTTAACTCTTGGTGATTTCCTCACGGTGGGCTAACTGACTTGATATCGTGGTCATCCTAGCACACTACTGGTGCCCCGGCAAGCTAGCAGAGCTTATGTATAGGAGTAGAGAATTGTTTTAACTATTTTTTGTAAGTCAGTCATAGTCATGAATACATCGCTCAAGGAATCGAGCCTGCGGAAGTAAAGGGGCGCGCTAAACCGCTAGACCACCAAGGCCGCAGTCGTCGTAGCCCAAGGAAGTGTATTTAAGTATTTATATCAGTTGTCTATTACCCATAAAACAAGCTTTGTTTAGCTTAAGACTAGATGGCGCTGAGTGAATTGTCCAGGTTTATTATTATGTATAATGTACGGAAAATTGGTTAAGTTTGCCATTATCAGCGATTTATTTACCATGTGCATATAAATGCTCCCGGCCACTTATTACATGTTACAAGCGAGCATTTCTTCGTCAGAAGGAAATTGCAATATGAAATATACATTTAAATAAATTTATTACAAAAAATGGTACAACTAGGTATAATTTACATTTCATTACTGCTGGTTCATTATTCTTATTCAATTACTAACATAATCCAGTTTGTTATTGATACTAAATATGAGTATTGGGATATTTCTTTAGAATTATTATTGTAAAAGAATAAATGATATAATTAGTAGCATGAAGTATGGCTATTTCTTCGTTGAAGAATTATAGTGTATTGTGTGTACCACCTCCTATTCTATGTACATAAGTTCTCATTTCCTGGTTGTAAAAAATTGCTTATAGCGATAAGACTGCCTTTTATTACTTTACTATTTATCATATTACTAGCTTTTGCCCGCGGCTTCGCTCGCGTTAATTTATCCCCTTAGTGGTGGAATTTATCAAAATCCTTTCTTAGGAGATGTCTACGTCATAGTAGCTTTATGCATGCAAAGTCTCAGCCCGATCGGTTTAAAATTGACAAACTTTCATCCCCTATTTTATCCCCTTGGTAAAATTAATCAAAATCCTTTCTTAGCGGATGCCTACGTCATAACATCTACCTGATTGCCAAATTTCATCCCGATCCGTCCAGTGGTTTGGGCTGTGCGTTGATAGATCACTATGTCAGTCACCTTTTGAGTTATATATGTTTAGATATTTCTTCTGCCTTACAATTATCTTCAGTTATTGTGACTTTCTTTTCATATATTTTATCGGAATTAGTTAAATAAATATAAGATACAAAATATAATATACTATAATTATTCAATAATTATGAAAACAAAAAATGAAGATGAGCAGAATAATGATCCAAGCTAATTATTAATTCTATGCACATTTCAATTAAAACACTTAACAATATGGTGACAATATTGTTAACACAATTAAAAAAGGCAGGATACACACAAGAGATGTACAATTAAAATTCTATACATGTTTAATTAATCGACTGTACAATAGTGCTTCAATATAAGTTCATTTGAATAAATGATATTCTATTCTATTCAACGAAAAGATATAATGAGGTCGACATGTTTGGTAACAAAGACTCACAATCAATTTTGATAATAAAAAAACACTTTATGCCTAAATTTCATTAGGATGCCAGTACTAATTTTACCAAATACAAAAATTTCTTTGAATAAAAATATTATCTATTTATAAAAGTGACTTAAGACTTGCAGATATTCTGAACAAGCCCGCCTAAGAATAAGTGCACATTAGTCTTTCAACAAAATTAATGTAACTATAAATTCAGATGTCATAATGTTCCTTGAGCACATCACGTTTGGTTATTTTGCTGTCAGCTCTTGTTTGTCGACATTAGCAATGAGAGTAGAGCCGCCTTTTCCTTCTCCTTCTTCCTCACTATATCTAGAGAACGATTCTTCCACGTGCTCTTCCTTAGTTTTATCGGTCTGCTGCCTACGTACCGACCTAAAATTCATAACGTCAAATAGTTGAGAAATGCGACAATTGTGTTGTGATGAGAATTAGTGAGCTAGCACTGATATATCAGGTTAACCTCCACGCGATTCTGAAAACCCGACTTGACTTCATGCTCATTCTATCATGCTTTAGTGGTACCCCGCCAGCGTTTGCCGTTAGCACAAGCGGGTGCAACAAAATAAGTCGTGTTGAAATAATAAACATTTCTTCCTTTATCTATCTTTAACCTATCTCTTTCTTTTAATTAAGTAGTTCGTAATTTTAAAAGAAATAATCAATTAATAAAGTACAACCTATATAAGGTTGTACTTTATTAATTGACGGCTTTGAATATTCCTTTCATTGGCAGTTGAATTCATCATACTATTTAAAAATGTATGTATGTTCCCGATTATCTACTAAACTTTTGAAGGGATTTTCATACGATTTATCAACAGATTTTTGAGGAAGTTTATATTCTTTATTCATAAATATTCTGTGTAATGTCGCTATATCCGTGTTAAATAAAGTATCCATGCCAAGTCACATGTGTAATTTACTAAATTTAGATTTTAATAAAATTAATCTTACCATCCATTTCCTTCATTGCTTTAATGAAGTCACCAGGGTCTTTGAAGCTAACAAACCCAAAACCTTTGCTCTTGTTTGTGCGTTTGTCCCTCACGACCTTAGCACGTTGGAACGAACTGTATTTGCTAAACGTACGCGTCTGAAAAGAAAAAAAAAACAAATAATAACTATTAATAATGCTTTCTCGAATTTGTATTCGAATAGATAGCTACAAGCAATAATGACTAGATACCATAAAATAATGATTTATTTGCATTCTCAGTACACATACAACACAATAAGAGTAACCAATTTGGAGTAATAAACATGTAAATAAACTAATGTCGGAAAATATCTGTATGTTACAGATTAAGAAACTATTAAGCCTAGTTTGGTTTTTATCCAAAAAACAATCAGATTATTGAGTTATAGCCTGGAATAACTAAGGGTGTGCACCCACCTATATCTACCACTACACACTACCACCTATAGCTTTGATAATAACATACATAGTTGAATGAGATATCAAACTGTCTGATTAGTGTATATTGCTTTTTTGTTACACAATATCATACAGTACTTATAATAAAAGAATAAAATATTCTGAAAAATCACTACCCCCCTTGGGTAGTGATTTTTCAGAATATTTTATTAGTGGTGGATGGCAATAATAAAATGGAGTCAGTATTCACGCCAGAGGCCTAACAAGGTAAGCAGAGAGTGCTATTGGATTCTGTCTTTCATTGACATTCATAGGTTGCCTTATGCATTCTAGTCCATTCTGACTGAAACCAAAATATGAAGATTTTTTTAGTTGATTCCTCAAGCTAGACATTGTGGCTGTCAATATATATGAAGAGATTAATAACAAATAAAAATATATAAAAGCTGTTACATAGAGATATTAAAGAGTCAGCACTGACCAGCAGTTCATCGGTGACGTCATTCCCGAGGTCTCCGCAGAACATTCTGAAATCATCATCGGGCCAGTCCAGGAGAGTTACATCCTCCCACACTTGACCGCCTGCCGTACGGACCACCTAAAACAATAAAACTCTCCATTATATTGCATTTTAAATAGGTTATTTTATAGCATAGCTGAGGTTGCGGCTCACCTGATGGTAAGTTATCACCGCCGTCCTTGAGCACCCCCAACACCAGGGGAATTTCAAGAATATTGCCGGTCTTTTAAGAAGAAATAAGCTGTGTTCTTACAAGTCACAATATCGGTACGGAAATACCACTGCTAGATGGCGATTCCACAATGTGGTTGTGCTTGGTAAAAATTAAGTCATAAGTTCAAATGTATAATTTTATGTTTTAACCTAAGTGTTGTACCAGTATTTTGGTAATTTCTTTTGTTTACCCATACTTAGCAACATAATAATTTGTTCATATTGTTAACCAGGTCTTAACAGGAATAACAGTTGCTCCAGTCGTGGTTACGAGCTGAGTCAGTTAGTAGTTATAACTTTACCTTTCTACTCTTTTTTTCTTTCTTCTTGGGTACTACAGGCTCGGTGGTAGTGATTGGCAGAGGCTGAGGCGGGGGCGTAGGCTCGGGGATCACTACCAATGGCTCGGGCTTCGGGGGTGGCGGCGGAGGTTCCCGTTTCTGTAAATACATTTAGTAACTTATATAAAATGAACTGTTACTCGTAATATCGTCCGCCTGGAATTCAACATTTTTAACATTAGTGTACTCCTGCTTATAACATTAGCTACCTGCGAGAAAATCCCGTCAAATTTTGCAAAGATCCTGATAACGTGTATGTTTCAAGTCATTTCACTTTCTTTTAAAATTTTACTTTTATTCCACAGATTTCATTTTGCAAAAATATATTTAGGATTTATGAATTGTCAATAACTCTATAATTATGTATTTACTTCAGATGTCCTCCATTTTGCAATGATGAATGATTATTACAGGCACTTGACATGCATGTCATAATTAAAGAACGCGGAAAAGTCCGGGCTTCCGCGCATTCTCCTTCTCTTTAACTACATCTACATAGATATTCTAGCAGATACACGCGTGAAAGAGCGTACGAGTAAATGAAGCTGAATGAAGCTGTTAGTAAATTCATAAATAACAGAGATAGATAGAGTACTCACTCTTTTTCTACTTTCATGTTTATCTTTTTTTTCTTCGTCATCCTTTGGCTGTTTATAGAGTTTTGGTGCAGCAGACAACACTATGGGTTGTGGTTTAGGTGGTGGTGGAGGTATCAGCTGAGGTCCAGGCATACCAGGCCGAAGAAATGGCATTGGTCCGGGGAAGTTGTCTGGAGGGCCGGGTGGCCTATGTCGTTGAACCTGAAATAATAATACTAACTTAGGACAACTCACAAAACACCGTCTAGTCCCAGGTTAAGCAGAGCTTGTATTATGGGTACTAGACAACTCATAGAAATACTTATTTAATTGTAATTACACTTATATACTATACTGGACCAATACAAACTATCATATCCATGAATTAAAATGTTTGTACCATGCATAGACCATCGCAAGTAAAGGGGTGTTCTAGCCCACTCCACCAAATTAGTTATTTTTAGTTTATTTGTTTTATTTACTGTGCTGAAAAATTACTCTGCTGTTAAAGTACACTAAGAGAAGTGATTTTATTTTGTATTATGTTCCTGTTTAGCTGCAAAGCTAAAAAATGCCTATTTTTGCAATTTGGATAGACATGACAATCCATATCTAGACTATTAGAAAGTCAGGTTTTTATTCAACTTTTGATCAACAAAACAGAAACAATAATGTTTAGACAGTTCTTCCTTTTGTAACTCTAAAATGGACTCCCTTGTCCAAGTAGCATAAGTTGCATTTGATCTGTTGTGCATATAGTGCAGAGAATACTATAGGCAGTCAAGCAATTCCACAAATTCTCCCTTTTATAGTAGTTGTTTTTTTTTATTTAATGGGCTTATATTTAAGACACTCCATCCACCCTGTTTGACATGGACAATGCTTGTTAATTATCAAAGTTTTTTATTGCAGTTTGTTCAAACTTGGAAGACTCACTAAGAAACAATCCCGTACTTACATACTAAAGCTAGTACTGTTATTAAGAGAAGGGATGGCACTGTAGGAAACATCATCCTCGTTTCAAGCACACTGGGGTCAAACTGTGGTATCAGAGATAGACAAACAATTATCCCAATTATAGTAGTTGGTTTAAATTTAGGTCAGTAAAAACAATCAAATAAATACTAAAGCTGGTACTGGTATTAAGGGGGTGGCCTTGTAGGGAACATCATCCTCGCACTAAGCACACTGGGATCAAATGGTAATATTAGAGACAAAACTAAAATTCTCCCTTGTATAATAGTTAGTTTAAACTTAGGTCAGTATTACCAGAGCCAAAAGAAGAGGAAAAAAAACTTAGGTTAGTAAGAAACAATCAGATACATACTGAAGCCGGTACCATCATTGAGGGCGGGGGCGGCGGAGGTGGTACCGTTGGGAACATCATCCTCGCACCGAGTACATTGGGATCAAACGGTGGCATCAGAGACGGAGGCGGCGGCGGTGGCGGTACAGTGCCTTCTAGCTGCCGCTGTACTGCACCAAATGTTCCAGCACCAATTACAGGCCGATGTGCCACTGAAGGTATATCGGCACCGGATATTTCCGCTTCGAACCTGTTACAAACAAAATATTTAATTTACCAGCGTTCTCATGCTAAGGTACCACGTTTAAGACTAATTTCTGTACTCGATCAAACTGCATATAGGGTTAACTTTATAATATTCGTATGTACTAACCTGGACATTTCATCTTGCATCTGCTGGAATTTGCTGGGTTCGTCCATGGTGTAGGTTTAACCTTAAAGAAGCCCAAATAATTAACGTACTAACGAGAATATTATTTTGTACGATATTTAACTTTTTCTTCAATACATACACTTTTGTACATTATTGACGAATTTCAGTATTCAAGTAAATAGTAAATATAATAAAAAATATTACTAAGAACTGTGAATTAGAACAAATTATAAACAGAACTCAATATTTTTTTTAAGTTCATTCAAACACAGTATGACTGATGACACTTGCTGAAGAATGACTTCAGACTCAATGATCAGAAAGTTTGACTGATGTAGTTAGTCTCTAGGAACTTATAATCTAAACTGTTTCACAGATCGTCAGTATATAACTGATTGCTAAATTTTGATAATTAGTACTGTATGAAGATGTTAAAATTCAACCATAGAAGTTTTGTTCTTTATCATTGGCTGAAATTGTTGACTTATAAAGTTAGTATCCAGGGCTGTAAAGTCATAAAACCGTAGTTTTTGATGACTGTCATTAGGCTGTCGTCAGTCTGCGTCAGTTATTTATATTGAGTTCTTAATCATTCCTTTTATTCGTTTCAAAGCAAATCATTCATCTTAGTCTATTCATTCAATCTATTTAAATTTTTATTTATTGTTCTCATAGTTTTTTAACTATTTTTATTTTTATGGTGAATGCATATTCATAAATAAATATGATTGATGAAGATAGAAAAACGTTATGGTGTGGTAATCTACCTGAACAATCTACTGAAGAATTACTTTATGAGCTTTTCCTACAGGTTAAAACGTCAAACATTACATACCTATTTTGCAATTCTTGTTAAATCTTTCGTCTAATGTTTGTGTGTTTTCAGGCAGGACCATTGGAGAGTGTAAGGATAGGTAAAGACAAAGATGGACGTCAGAAAAACTTTGCGTTTATTACATACTGTCATGAAGTATCAGTTCCTTATGCTTTGAAACTATTTCAAGGTACAGCCTTGTTTCATAAGAAGCTGACGCTGCAGTTCCGAGGTCGTCCAATGCCACTTCCACCGCCGATACGATGCTACGGCCCAGAGATGACAATGGACTTTGACACTCTCAATAATGTTACTCAAAAGTTTATAGACATGACAGAAAAATTGAAACATGATGACTATGCCCCTATTCATAATGTACGGCAAAATCAAGACTACAATGATAAGCTAGTTAGGGCGAGTTTACAAGGTAATTGGTCACACAGGCATCACCCATACAACCCACATAAAGACAATAATATGTATACACGAGACAGCTACAGATCACGGGATAACTATGGGGACAATTATAAAAGTAGCAATCGCAATAAGCGTTCAAGCAATTGGCATGACAGACGGCATCACCAAAAAAATTATCACAGGAGAGAATGACAGATTATTGTAATTAATACAACAAATCATGAACACAAAAGCAACAGCTAAGTTTATGTTAAAAAATAAAGACGGGAAGTGTTGATAATTTTAAAAGAAACATTTCAATAAGGGAGTTGGTATTAACTGCTAAATGTATGATATTAAAAAAAATTGCAAACATATTCCACTGGCACCACACTTTCAACAATACAATGTTCTTTTTTTTAATGATGCTATACTTGTACTTGTTGTAATTTCTATTATTTATCAAAAACATTTTACAATCAAGCTATCAAATTTGCATAGACCCCTGATTAAACTATGCCTTTTTATATTGTGTGTTACCATGTAACAAAATACAGTCATATCTTTTAAAATATTTTAATATTTTTATTATGATAAAATCGTTTATTAGACCAAAACATATGTTTATATTATTTTAGTTCTTACAGATAACGGGGATAATTCTATGGAAGATATCTATGGGTTTATTTGTCTTCCAATTATTCAAACATCTGAATTTTAATAGCAATAATTTATATATTGAAATCTTAATTAATATATCTAATTTTTTGTATAACTTTCAGTTATTTTTCAAACATGTTAAGTAAAGATATATTGTAGTTTTCAAAACATTATACTATTAACACAGAATAATATACATACATATATATTATAATACAGTATAATAGTTATAAGGCATTGACTTGTGTTTTAAAAACAATGTAGGCTTCCGACTGGCAGTATATAAAAAAATTAACATAAATAGTATAAGAAATTATATTTGTTTAACCCTACAAATACAATTTCTTATACTATGTATGTTTATTTTTTGACCTAACCTAATTAACCTCTATCATACTACCACTGAGTTTTGGTGACATTGACTATTATAAATATGTCTATCCTATATCCAAAAGGAATGTATTCAGACAAATCTGTAAATATATATATGTCTATCCTATATCCAAAAGGAATGTATTCAGACAAATCTGTAAATATATATATATATATTTATCGTGTGAAAATATAAATTATCAATTCTTTGTAGCAGTCCCTAATTTATATGTTTTTTCAAATATAACCCAAGTAAATTTATAAATATTATATTTTAACATATAGTTTTAGTTTTATCTTAATTTAAAAATACATAGTGAACACACTAGCGTATTATATTCATTCATGAATAAACACTGGTGAATAGCATTTTAAAAATAAATATTACTGCCAATTAAGTACTGGACACTTCTGATGTATTGTTTTATTGAAATACACATATTATGTAACTTAGTTTTCGGCAAAATGCACTATTGTGCAATCAAAGAACGAATGATTGATGTATATTTTAATAAAACGTGCGTTATTTTTACAATATTAACTTTCATTCAATAAAATTCCTCTTTCGTCCAAAAATCCCCTGAATTCTTCCTGGAAAATAATAATATGTTAACAAATATGAATAAAAATAACATACTTTGCAATCAATATGATTTAATTAATTAATTAAATACATTAGTCGTTTGCGACTGCGTGGATACCTCTGTCTTACCTATTTCAACGACCAAGAAAACGGTGCTTTGTGAGCAGTTCGGTTCTATTTACATCTTGGTTGTTATGTAAAATATGATGAAATAATTACAGGGTAGGTTAATACCTGTAATTTCAAAATTTTACCTGACCTCGTGGTCTGACACCTTAGTCTTCTTGAAGGCAACGTACTGGGGACACAATCACAGAAGTCACGTCACTTGCGTCAAATGATGACGTGATGAATGGTGCTGTTCATATAATAACTGTTACTACTTTGGGCTGCGAATTCAGATTATTCAGACTTTGGTGTTTTCTTATTTCTTTTAACTCGGTATTTATTTGTAAATACATACTTCTGTCCCCCGAGATACTACTGTCACTCGGAGAGGACAGGGCGAGTTGAGAGAAAAAAACTGTTTATACTTGTTTACTTACTTACCGTCAGCTTGTGTACCATTTCAGTAACTTTAATAAAAGTAAAATATCCATATACTTACGATTTTATTTTTGTATTTATATAGTACGTATCCAAATATATCGTACATGAATGCTATCGACACAATATAGAATACAAGAGACATAAGTTTTTCATCCATATCGAATAAGTCAGATTTTAATATCTTGTACATAATATAGCTACCGAGGAGTCCCCTTGCGCCCAGGAACATTATTAAGTATGATGCCTCCACTATGATATATATCAGGGTTTTATCATATCCCTCATGCCTAAGAAACCTGTCAGACAAGGTATTCGATTTAATTTATAATTAACTGTTACCAACGACGAAAGTAGTCTTAAGTTACTCCTTATAATATTAGCTATTTGCGAGTGAAGATCCCGTCAAAATCGGTCTACCCATTTCAGAGATTAAAAAGAAAAAAAGAGGGACAGACCAAAATTTTTAAAATAACGTACTATCAAATGTACTTCCATATGCATTTCGTGAAAAACGTTAATTTGAAATGACAAACAGACGTCAATTTCATTTATTTAGATTGAAAAATGTTCTATATTCTTGATAAGGAGCGTCGTGGTTTACTAGTTTACTAAAATTAAGAAAGTATCGTGTCAATTTATATTTTTTACTAACTCCCTGGAATAATTAAACAGCGCTAGTCTTACAGGTTACTTTATACTCAAATTATATATCAAAGACGATTTATATTTGCCGTTAATTTCACATTAATGATTTTTTAATTTACTATTCTAATGCTTTCTCTTTGTTTGTCGAACTAGATGTTGTTTTGGGGATTGCTTTCTACTTCAATACTTAATGAACTTTATTATTTTGTTTAATTTCCCCTAGTACCTAATTCCAAACACTATCCGAATTTTATTTTTATTTATGTAGGTCTATTACTTACTCTTATGATCGAAAATCGATAAATCTACCGTCATTTCGGAATGCTTTCGAGATGAGAACTGACAAGAAACTCATATTCTTTTCAAATATGGTTTTACATGTTTATAATAAAAAAAAATTAATCAAATTTGGGAAAATACAGTGACTACCAAACAGCATATTTTTAAAATCACTAGTATCCTGACGACTTAGGCGTAATGCCGGTTAGTCAGGGAGAGAAACATCTCAATGCCTACAATATTCACAATTACCTATCTCTTATTTGTTTTTATAATAATATAAACACTTTCGCTCCAAAACTCCCGCTGCCTACGTTCAATTATCCGTCATCCACTTGTCAATGTCACATAGATTACTTTGGCTCTGGCCTCTGACGTTCCGTTTCAGGTTACATGATTATTGACTTTACCATTTTTAATTAATGGTGCGTCACACGATAGTTAACAATATGCTATAGCAATTTTATGAAAAGCAAATAATCTATCAGTGTTCGTAACCCGAACTGACTAGTCCCAACAGGCACTCGTTCACGAGTATGACCGATGAACGAAAGAGTGAAACACGTTTCGCAACATGGGTGTAGACTGTAGATCCAAAAACGGTTGATATTTGATCACTAATACAACTAATGGTGTCATTACGTTTACAGTTGCAGAGGTCAGATTTCCGTACTGATTATTTGTCGTCTTACACATGGTAATGTACTAATGGTAGGTAAAAATATCTTAACCTACAACAGGACTATCATCGGGAGTAAATGTCCAAATATATTTCTTTGGCATTCATAATCTGTAACATAATTACTAATATTATGTATGTTAACATTGGACATAATTACCGCAAATGAGTAAGTACGTACCTACCTATATCGATTTCTTATGATATGTATTTTACATGCTATTCGTACTTAGTTATTCACTTTTACTTTGAAGTATTTACATAATGTTATTCTAGTCTAGGTAAATCTTTCTATGAGAGATGATCCCAATCCTTAAATACAATTTAAAAAAAAAAAAAAATTATATTTGAAACGATATTTAAATTTTGAAACGGCCGGCAGTCCTAAACTATAAATATATCAAAATCGGTTGAAAATTGTCTAGAGTATCGCCTAATATATACGTATACAAAAATACAATGGCATTAAGAACATATTCTTATTTTAAATGATTAACAAATTACTAGTAGATCAGCGAAAAAATCTGGTAATATATACTGTTATAAAGTCGATAAAATATACCTACATATTAGATAAACACGTTCATTGAATATTGCGATCTACGACAAAGAACCTGACTACCTGATAGTAAGTGGTAACCGTTGCCTATACATTACGTTATCATGTAACACCTATGATATAAGATGTCATCCCATTATCCTTTAATTTCACTGGCGTATATATGCTTGTAACCTTCCAACAATAACTGTTGCCTGTTGACTACGACATAAACTGTTAACAATGCGATTAGTCTATCTGGAATATCAATTGTGATGGTATACTACTTTTACCTAAAATATTTAGTCAAAACTTTCGGGGATCGATCTTAGAACAACTACATCAGACAATAAATGATCTGTAAGATACCTTCTACAATATATAGGTAATATTTAGACTAGCCGCCATCTTTCTAATTATACTAGACAAAAATCACTCTAACCATCGTATTTGCAGTAGAGGATTGGTGATTTCTAATAACGTCAACGTGCAGGCAAAGGTACAGCCTTTATAGATCTTCTGCATATACATAGTGATGGCAATGACAGCGCTAGCGTGGTGACACAGCATTAATATATTCTCGTTCATGTACAGAATACACCAGAGGAGGTCGAATGCGAAGTAGCCCCATGACCAAACCATCAGTGCGTAGTGTCGCGCTGTTATTTTCACTGAAAGTTGATTTAAATATTGAAATGATGGTGTTTCTTTGTTAATTTTATATTTAGTAGGTAGAATTTAATATTTTCTTCTTTGTTTAAATTTTGATCCCACCGGTTTCAGACTGTTCGAGGTAGATTTCTGTTGTTTATCTAAGTAGATATATAAAATCTATTCCCCTTTTTTATATACGAAGATTTTCAGCGCTTTTTATAATTTTATGATCATATTTGTTTTATACTAGGTAAAGATACTAAATATATTATTGTACCTATCGACATATACTGACCTTATATATATGCATATATAAATCGTATATAATATCAATTTATTTAATCATAAATCTATAAAAAACTTGAGTCACGATGTTTGTCCGGAATAAATTTTGGTGGTTCAGCTTAGACATTCAAAGGATGGTAGATTATTTATTTAGGACCTTCAGTCTGCTGCTTGAGCTCAACTGGTTTATTATTTTAAAAAGGCAACGTATAATTTGCACATAATACTTACTGGTGAAGCGACATGGTGTGAGTGACTGTACGCCACATTGTGATAAGCCGATGATGGTAGCTACACTCCCGTGGAGCAATGTCACCACACGAGAGCGCCACTCTGGGCTCTGTTCTGGTGCCCTGACAGAACACCACAAGTACAATGCACTCCAGAATAAGAACGACACAAGTTTCAACAGCGACGCGGCAGACAATTCGTGTTTCACCTCCATTCAGGACATTTTGGATATTAGGATGAAACCAGCTCTCTCATTATTGAATTAACATTTTTTTATGGTTTTATATTAAGAGTTTGTGTATGTAGTGTTTAAATGTTACTGCACGACATTTCTTTTTTGACAGTATACATGTTTTTGTATCAGGATGGTTGTAGTTAGATATTGAATCTCCATTGTAATCTAAGATCTCGTAGTTTTGTCAGTGTATGAAATGTCTTACAGAAATGTCAAAAATTTAGCAACTTATAAATTTTTTAATCAAATATAACATTTTGTATAATATATATGATGGTTAACAGAGTACCTAAATAGTAATGTGTGGTGTGACATGTATGTGGATATCTCCGTAACTACACAACCTATTTTTGTTAAAGAAATATCGGCTAAGAACGTCTATGACGTTGCTGTATTTTTAAAGTATATTCGTATTGTTACAACTCTAAATATATAAAAGAAGTGTTATAAAAATAATAGACACTTTGTTGATATTCTATATTTTAATGTACTTATTTCTACAATTAAAAAGTTATAAATTGTACATGCTGATAACAATAAGTAGATACATTAAATGTCACTCCGCTGGAGGATAACAATTTAATTTCTCATGTACATAATTTCTGTATAAGAATTTACATAACTTAAAATTTACTACAAAAATACCTTTCGCACAAATCAGTCAAGAGATCAATATAAGAGACAATTGTCTCGTATCGTGGGTGCTATAGTCAGTCATACAACGATTGCATTCCTTACTACATGCAGTCTATTAAAACATCTCGTGTAATTCCAAAACTACAATTTCAAACTTACATTAGCGTAAATACTTACGATATCTGTAAATCATTTAGCGTTTCAATTTCACCGTTTTAATAGACATTACATTATCGTCATCGTAATTTATCGACTAACTTTTCTATAGCGCGATACCTTGATGGCAGGATGGACTCTTTCAACAATGACCGGAATCTTGTATCGGTAGATAATGATAGACAAAGGTGACGGGCGTGTAAGCGAGTTTCGGCGTTGGCATCGCCAAGTAGTTCACCGGCAGCTCTCAACAATACAGTCCTGGGTTCGGGAGGCATATCCAGCGTTCTCGAAGCCCCGTTGTGCTGCACAAGACGAGCTAGTGCTTGAGCGGCTGCCGCTCGCACGGGCCCAGCTCGGTGTGTTGAGCCCCGTCGCGCTAACGCAACTGCAGCTCGAGCGCCGTTACTTCCGCATGCTAGACGTACCAACGCTGATGCTGCATCAGCTCTGAGGAACCTATTTACATCTGCACAGCGCTCTAACAGCGCCGTAGCTGCTTCTTCCAACTCAGGATCTAACGCTCGCCCGCGATGTTCAAACAGAGCACCTAATGTGGAACATGCCGTTCTCGCTACTCTTGACCGTAATGAACGGACATGGGTCGAAGATGATCGGACAACCGCTCTCCAACTGGCAGCTGGTGCACGAGCGGACGGATCCATTGCCAACCGTTCGGTTTCAAGCAATCCATTCACTATTAATTGCCAGTCTTCATGTCGAGCTGGTACTATACATTCTGCTAATGCATTTCGTACATCTCGTTCGATGGGTGACGCGTCCTCGTGGTAATTAGCACTTGATGGGTCCGGCGTAGGTGATCGACTACACGACGCACTTCTACTTTTTGATATACCAGAAGAAGATTTTTGACTGTGTGGTCGCGATTCAATTCCGAGGGAATTTAAAGATTTTTGAGATCCGAATAATCTGTCAGGAGTTTTTGCATTCTCTGTTTCATTTGAACGTCGACTACAATCATCAGTTTCCGCTCGAGACCGATGACTGTATATTGAATGATTTGATCTTTCCGAATAATCTTCAATGTGTATTGACGGCGATCGAGGTGGTAATGGAGCATCTTCTGTTTCGCCTGTCGATACATCGATGACTGTCGTATCGCCTATAATGATACGATCAGCAGATTTGCTATCGGACAGTTGATCACTCTTTTCAATTTCCTTTTCTTCATAGGTCGTAAAAGCGCTCGACTCTCTGTAAGTAAACGTGAAGAAATAAGTATACGTGGAAGTTATTAATGTTTGTTTACAGTGGCTATTGAAGTCGGAAGTTACCGAGTGTGTGGGGGCAGGTCGGCGACGAGGTCGGGAGCGAGGGGTGGGACGGGTGTAGGCTCGACGACAGGGCGAGGGCAGCACCACAGTAGCATGGCCGCCTGCCGCCGCGGCGCCACCACGACTGACGGCGGTATTCTACCCTACAGTCGACGCCACACGCCATCAATTGTACAACGGACCGTCACCTAAGCACCCTACTCACCGTCCGCGATCAATTGCCTACCATGTTGATGAACTCACTCTAGTACCTGCATATTATGCAGATTAGGTAAACACATACCCAGAATTGATGTAAACGTAATAACGTTTTCCAGTTAAGATACATGTGGGCGAAAATTATTTTTCCCATTTGAATAATTTGCTTGACAAAAGAAAAAAAATAATTTATCACCTAAAATTTTTCTGTATACTTATGCTAGGCAATATTTTTTCTAATATCTTTATTACAATATAAGTACTGTGAGATGAGGTGATGGTAGATATGTTTTTTGCATTGATATGTTTTCGCTATCGGTCTTATAAAGTTCATAATTTTGTTACAGTTGGCAATATACCCCTATTTTTTTGCTAGATTTATCGCAGTTTGCAATTGTTTCCAAATAACATGTTGTTCAGCAATTTAAACTATTATATGCGGTTTTTGACATACATATTTCGATCATAATGTAGAACGATGGAACGATAGCGTAAATGGGTCGCCTCTGACCGTCTATGGCGTTAGCTATAGAAGTGGGCCAATCATTTTGGTCTCAAAATGTAGGTTAGTGGTGGCACGCAATTACATCCCCTAATTCTAGGGTCAACAAGGCGTGCCGAAAGAAATTCTGTATAGTTTAACGTTTATTGTCTGTTGAATTCGTAATCAAGTGTCGCTTTTGATAAGTGTAAAGTTGCACGTTGAAATTTTTAAGACCTAATCGATAACCTGTATTTCCTAGACCTACTTTAAATAACCTAAATCGATGAGTGTAATAGTAACGGTACAAGAATGTAGAGAAGGTATCTACTTTTTTTATGGGTGATAATGGTTTAAAACACCCGTCTGCTTTAATAGTATGGGGCACCAGTGGACAATTATAATATGAGCATGAAGTCAGGTCAACCTATCATCGTAGCGAGTTCACAGGATGAACGACGATGATTTCCAGAGGGGACCGCGTGGTGGTTGATCTGACATGGTACATTATTAGCAATGATGCCCCTATTTCCAATTTATAACAATAATAATATCACAGGACGATTAACACAGCGTCATGGTTTGTATCTTATGTTTTCCTCTTAGTCAAGCATCATGAACGAATGTAGGTGGTCCTTGGGATGTATAGGTATCCACATGGTATAGTTTTTATCCCGGTGAATATAACTCCGTGGGTGGCTTAAGAGCAGACTCTAATAATCTATTTATTGATAAAGTAGGTACGTAAATAAGTTAGTTTGTGGCTACTTTTTCAGAGTCTGTACCTAAATACACGATTGCAAAGCATCCTATTTCTAGAAATAGAATGAAGATATTTCAGGACACACCTATAGAAGAACTGATCCTAAAATATCCTACCGATTATATGTATAAATAGAGTTTGTTAATTATGAAACAATAGATAATGGTATTAGATCGTTTAATCATTACTCACTATTATTATTTCAGTTATTAATTTGTCTACTGTTAAACATAGATTAATGGACCAATCACTTCAGTGAAATGGAAAAATATGGTAACACTAGATATATTATTATATCTTCACTATAAATTGTTTTTTTTATTAAGTAAGACATTATAATCAAATAGTCTTTTTTAAGGTTTTGGGCTATGGTCAGGTGTTAGGATCTGTAACACTGCGACCTACGTAGATCTATTGTGCTCGCCCTTTTCGTTCGCTACCTAGGCTCGTCAGTGACAGTCCTTGCATACTTCTTATTTTATTCGCATGATATCAAAAGCATATCGAAGTTTGTTTTAAGAATGAAGAATGTAGTACAGAAGACTCTTAATTGCTACATCAGACAATATGTTCGATACATAATAGTATCAACAACTGACTGAATTAAAACAAATAAATAAATACAATATGAAAACATCAAAAAGTGTAGTGGAAGTTATTAGATATACTCGCGTTGATACTGAAGAATAGTTTAATCTACACTGAACTTAAGTAAGTAAATAATTATATCGAAATTGAGACATTCGTTTTATATGATAGGATAAAACGTATGATAGGATAGGGCATACGATGATAAAACTACCAAAAGAGGAACATATACATATTTTTTTAAATATACCTATATTTTCATTGTAATAAATAAAATTAGATTCAAAAATTTAAATCGTCAAAGTTAAATCAACGTAGGCAAACCACGTAAACCAACATATTACTATAAAGGGGATGAGGATTGTCAGGTCGTGCGGTCGTCCTCCACGTGTTTCTGCTGCAAAACAACGTGGGTATCTAATCCTTATTTATTTTGTCACAATGACAAACAAACTTGACTTAATTCTCATTCTGTCAGCCTCTACTGGTTCCCGACCAGCGTATACCATTCGTACAGTGTGCACCAATTCATTAGCATGCATTAAAAAACACAGTAACATGACCTAGTAAAAGACACCAGGTAAATTGTAATTAGTCTGGCGATGTCTTGAGTGGCGTGGCGGCCATTGTCACCATGGAGACAGCATTTGATTAAATATTAAACAACAACCGCTTATATATCTTCGTTAGCTTCGTTTACAGCTTGACATTCACGCCTCGCATTTCTTGGAACGGATACTGACGCGTATTCAAAGGCTATGTAGCTTCAGGGTCATTTTCTTTGGTACTTGCCAGTAGGGCTGTAAAAGCGATGACAAATGGACTACTGATTAGTTACCAATCTAAGTAGTTCTCATTACTACAGATACTAGTTACTTTAGTTACAAATGACAGGATACTGACTCTTCGTTTTTTATAATATTATTATATTTTTCTATCTGTTCTGATCTCGATCGATCTGTTTTATTTGGTGTTTTGAGAACTCTATTTGTCTTTTTTAGAACTAATGTATTAGTTCTTTTTTGTGCTAGTATCTCTTTTAAGTAGTTACTGTATCTGCAGTTTCTAACTGTAGTCAATAGGACAATAACTATATTGACTAAGTAACTAGGTACAGTAACTACTGAGTACAAAAATTTCAAAGTAACGTTAGGTTAACAAAATAACGAATAAAGGGATTTCGTTACAGGTGTCGTACTAGTCCTATTCGTGTCATCCGTCAATGGTATGGTTTGCAACAGCTCTACACTTTAGCCCTCGTCTATTGATTGGGTGTTAGTAATAATGTTAGTCACAATTCGATAGGGTGGTTGACTCGACGTAACGGTAATAAAAGTAAATATGCCAGTTTAACATAGATAACGATCAACGTCTGGCGGTCAAGTCAACAATACATAGAATGCGAAATTAACAGAATGAAATACTATTAGTTATAGTTTCCTTGGCGTATAGAGCCAATTTATTTTTAATTTACTTCTGTTGCGATAACTATCGCGTAATAAACCCACTGAGCCGAATATAAGTCGACTAATTAACAGAAATAGAAATGTTTTCAGGTCAAATCCTGTAATTTATAAATCCAAACTCGGTTACTAGGAACATTATTTACATAAGTAATACCATACAGTTTTTTACTTTTTATGTAATTGGAATGGCGAATAAACTGACCGCCCACTTTTTTTTTCGGACTACTGTAATACTGTTGGCCGCTGCTGGCCTTTACAGCATCACCGGAGGATAGCGAGTGCAGATGGCACTCCAAACCCGCAGAAGGACTTATGGAGCGGCTGAAGGTCAACTCCCGCCTGATGGATACGACTTTAGTCTAAGCTAATTTGGTAACAGTTGTTACTAAATTATAGAAGTCAAGAAAAAAATATAGGGTTTTACGTGTATGTAATTAAAGATTTTTCGAGAACCAAAACCTACGCAGCTTCTTATAAACGATGATGAATTTCTACTCCTGAGTTCGTCTCATAATAATTTCGTTACAAAGGTTTTTTTTTATCGATATTTTAAAATAATAATAACAATATACTTCATACAATATTGATTAAAGAATATCAAATATATATTGTTTTTTTTTAATATTTTATAGCATAAAGCATTGGTGATATAAATATGAAAAATAAAGATTTTTAAATGAATTTTACTGCTATATATTTCAAATCTGTTATACGTTAGAGATATGTTTAGAACGTATAAGGTGATTAGATATTTTCGGGGAAACTGTTCAAGGTTGACAATAAGTACATGACACCCCTAATGTAATGTTGCAGGCGACCTTGGTGTCTAAAATCGCCTCTTCAATGTTTCGCAATTACGATCCTATAACAATTTACATATGAAATTGACTTTTAATGAATAAATGCGAAAGAATGAAATTTTATTATTGTTATGTTTTATAAGAGGCATGACAACTTTAGATGTCACGTATTAACGTGATGTCCGTAGCGCTGTTCATATGTAACAGCTACGGTTATCATCACTTAACATCAGATGGGCCGTATGTTTGCTTAATTTCAATTATAGGTAGATTAAAAAATAAATTCAGTGCAGTTAGATTTTGTAATGGTTTTTTATCATAATATTATATATATTATATTGTCTTTTTGTTTAATACCAGGATGTTTAAGCTAAGGATGTAGAAGCTTTAGATCAAACTAAAAATAAAAATCATTTATGTTTATTTAAAAATTAAAACTTAGGAACATGGCAGGTACTTAATCATCTGTTTTCTTTCAATATGGTTTAGAGATTTCTTTTTCATTATAAAATAATGTTCTCTATTAACTATATTTACTACTTTGAGAGTACAAGAGTCTTTGAGAAAGAGTTAAATACTAGTAAGATACATAATTTTTAGATTGTATTTTGTGAATAGCAAATAGTAGTGCCACAAATAAGATAACATTACATAGAAGTAAAGCGCAGTATAATAGTTATATATAAAAAATATGCTCGTCTTATAAAGCAATACGAGCCCATCAATAGCCCAGGTGCTGCAACTCACATGAACCCAAGGCCAATGTCCAGGGTAGTTAATGTAGCCTACATCGTCTGTGAATTCTTTATTCAGGTAGACAGGTATCTAATCAATTATTACGTTGCTAGAAAATTATGGGACGCTATTGAACCTTCGACACCGAATAAATAATATTACGAGTTCGTTGCTTTCAACTTACAAGTATCATATTAGGTACGGAGACAGTTTCCCGTATTTATAGAATGCCATCGCCCTTTTTGTTAATTAAGTACTTTAAACTTTGATGTAGGTACCTGTAATGATGATTTCGCACGAATAAAATACCTACGATATTAAAGAAAAAGTTTGTCGTATTTTTGCCGTCGCCAACTGTAGCTAATCTCTCGATAACGATGTTTGAAAGTTGTTCAAATAAAAATACGCATTATAATCTCGTTTAGGAGATATAAAGACACATACAGACACTCAGACACGTTAAATCTTGAAGACCCTTGTTTTTATCATCTCACAGTGAGTTGACAGTTACATTATATACAACGTCAGCACTCTTTTACATCCCCAGTATGTTTTAAGAATTCACTGGCTAAACAAATATTGATAACCAATAAAAAAAGTAATCGCCGGCAATTTGGACACTGCAACACTTTCTTCTGATTCTGAATAAAGTTTATTTATGTACTGGTACTGTATTGTACTGGAATGAAAAACATTAGACAAGGCCACGTGACTACGGGTCATTCTCAAAAATTTAATACATTCCATATTAATAATTTTATCTAATAAGTTATTGATAAGAAACGAGAATTTTATTTGTACTGTAGTTTAGTTGTTGTGCTGTGCTACCCTAGATTTATAATATGTTTTTTTTCATTGCAAAGTTTTTTTTATTCATGTAGGTCTATTACAGTTTATCAATTTCACAATTCAATTGTTTATATGGAATTATAATAAACATATTAAAAAAAATTTGGTGGAAAAATGTCCAGTTGAAAACCAGCGCCGCATCGGAGCGTCCTGTCGGCATACGCTAAACTTTGCGATTTTAATTAAGCATAGTTTAAATGTAATTTCTTTTATGTATCACTGGCTGCAATAATTGATTCTTATTCTTAACTAGCTGACCCCGTGACTTCGTCCGCGTGGAATTTAACTTTATTTTTCTGAAATAAAAGTGATCTAAGTTACTCCTTATTACATCAGCTACCTGCCAAAAAAAGCCCCGTCAATATAGGTCCAGCCATTTCAGAGATTATCTGAAATGGCAGAAGAGAATGTAAAAAATATTATATTACAAACAGACACTATTTTGTAATATTGTATGTAAAAACTGGTTATTTATATTATCAAATACATATATTATTTATATGTATAGATAATATAAATAACATGTACTATACACACTATCCTATAACATTTTCTAGGTATTCTGGAAGAAATTTCTTTTTAAAGATAAAGCTCGCCCTTGTACATTACATTTATTGTATCACTGTTTTTTTTCTGATGTGTGTGTACAATAAAGACTAAAGTATATGTACGTACCTATCGCTTAATGGTATCGGAGACAGTGCTGGTTTCATAAGGAAATCCCTTCCGGGCTGTGAAATACCTGTAAATAAAATAACCACATATTACCAATTAATAATAATGTATATTATGTATGTATATAAATACGTAAGTTAAGTAAAAAAGATCAGCAGTATTCTCATCTTCTTCATCCTCGCCGTACGTAGGGTCGTCTTGTCTAATCCTGAGTCGCCACGCATTTCGCTGGTAAGCATCGTCATTTGACATGATTACTGCCAATTCTTCATATCCTTATGGACATTCCTCAACCAAGTCGTTGGTGGTAAATATCCACATTTTTCATATAATATTTAACAAGCAATGCATGTTTTTATGTACTTAATGGCAACGACAAAAATCCTGCTAAGTTTATACCGTCTGTCCAGGACATGACAATAGGCATCAAGTCAGCATGAATACAAAAATCAAGTGTAATGTTTGTATTATTTTTTATTAATTTAATGTATTTTTTATGCATAATTAAAAAAATAGATTAGCATTCTACTCAGCTTCTCTATTAGAATTATAAATGTGCAAAATTTCATATTTCTCCGATCGCGCAATTTATATAAAAAGAGGTACAAAGTTTTTATTGTTTTATGGCAAGTTAGACCGATAAATTAAGTTAATATACGAGATTTTATTTTGTATATTTTTGAACATTTCTATATATTTATTTTTGTACAAATTACTATATATTGCTTGATTAATATCACGCATAGAGTCTCTTCTTGCTAAGGTAATTGTTTTAAGGTAAGCAACATTGTTCTTACCCTTATATACATATAATACAATTACCAGGTAAAGGTGCAGAGTCTGGCAGTGGTCGAAGCCTCCTGGGTAGTGTCGGGGCAGCTGGCGGCGGGGTGGACCTGGCTCGTCGTCTAACCGGAAGTGGTAGTTGTGAACTCCTACAAACGTTTACACATCTTAATATTATAAAAGCGAAATGTATATATTGAAATTTAACGCGGGTGAAACCACGGGCGCAGCTAGTTTAGACATGATTGTTAAACACATAAGATATTTACAATATTGTAAATTAGGTACATTTGATGATCATTGTTGGCAACACTTTTGTATTGCTGGTAATACTGTATTAACGTGTCAACGGTCGACGTTGTGATAAATAAGACACTATTTCGTTGAGAAAGAGAGAATAGTTGGGAATCCAATACGACTGGGATGAGCCAAACGCCGCATTAAAGACAATTAATACATAAAAATAAAAATATTATATTCACAATTATATCACCAACATGTTATAAATACACATGTTGGTGAAACGATCGTCAGTTCTTTTATTATTAAAGTTATTAAGTGAATTAATTTTGTATTTTGAAACAAGCAGACATGGCCTATAGACACAGTTCCTTTTGCCTTTCCTTTAAAGGATAAACAGACCAAAAATATATAATACATCTTCTCATATAGTGTCTTATTTAACACAACGTCGATATTAGATAAAAATGGTCGAGAACTCGAGTCTGACCAAAATTACATACAAAAAAGTTTTTATTTTAATTTCCGATTAACTCTCCAGTGATATATATGTATATCAATAATAAGAAAGAAGACAACGATTGGTTCCCTCTGCCACATTGGATTTAAATATACTGCCGAAGAGAAATTTTAATATGTCAAGTTCACCGCTGTATCCGTGGACAATTACTCTGACTACCCAACTAGGGATGTCAGTCGTGAAGGTAAATATGAATTTGCGATATTATCTACTGAGTAGAACTGGAATTGGAAGCTTTTGAAATGTGGTGATGGAGAATGGGAATAATTAGGTAGCTGGAAGCATAAATTAAGAAATGAAGAAGTACTGCAAAGGGACAGCTGGAGAAGAAAAGAGACAGATCACAAATATTATTGAGAATAGACGGGGAAAATGTTGGGGCATTTGATACGACGAACTTATGATCGAAAAGAAAAATAGAAAGAAAGAGGGGAAGGGGTAGACCAAGACACAACTATACAAAACAGATTAAGAAAAATTTGGAGTCTTGCCATATCAACTACAGATTGGCGGAAGACTATGGAAAATGGCAAAAGCTCCACCGATAAGAGCGCGACTATTAAATTATGAAATAATGAATCCTCTGAAGATCTGATTCCTACGTACAAGTATGCTTGTTCGGATGAACATCAAATGGTACTTCCACCTGGGTTAAAGGCACGAGGTTAGGAAAGGATAGTATCATGCTAGTGACTCGTCAGCAGTGTTTAGTCCAGGTAGAAGCACCATATCATTATAACCCATTGTTTGAAACAGACAGTGTTTTGTATACACACCTGATCATGGGACTTGGTTTTATGTTTTCAACCGGTCTGTTCAATCGCTCACGTAACTGAAAACAAATTAATAATATTGCAATAAACACAATAAATTAATTAAAAATTAGGACTAGACACAATTAAATAACTGTATAATTTGTGGAATAGACCACGAACAGTAAGTAAAACAATATTGTTCTGAGTCTTCCTTTTTTAATCAAAGTGTTCACCTTAGATAAAAACCAAAATAAAAATGGCGCGGCAAAGGTAACACCTAAAAACTGTCTCAATTTTATTCCACTTTTGATTCGATTCAGATTAGTGTGAAATTATTTTCTGATAAACATTTGAAATAATTGTCTGTCAAGTCTTATCAGGATGTTGAAAAAATCATTTAAATATTCTACGTATCATAATTAATCTCTGTTTCTAATTTAACTGACACTGATTTGATGATAATTTCGATTAGAGGTCTTTTTCTCATAGACTATTTTCTAAATTTAGCTGGATCTGGACAGCAGCATTGCATTACATTTCTACCATACTTGCAAAACTCGACAAAAAATGTGCTTTAATAGGTGAAATAGCGATAATCACCAGATGAATTTTTAAGAAATTTACCTCGGTAAATTCTGAATTATTAACCATTACTTTAATCAATATTGAATTGATCAATTAAAATTTGATATAAAATATATATTAAATATATAAAAAACAGAGAGTAAGAAAGTATATGCTAGTGAAATCTAAGAATCACCTTATTGCAGAAAATGTCAGCTCTGGCAGTACCGGCGAGTCTTCTCCGAACAGCTGAAAGCACGGCCGCTGGTCCGGCCGCCCGCGCTAAGCATAGAGTAGCTCGGAGTTGAGCGCTTTGAACTGCTTCTGCATCTCCCGTTACCTATAGGTATAGACAACATACTTTCTTTAAATTTATGAATATGGAATAGAGAAATGGACTGCGCCAATTGTTTACGCAATGTAGTAGGCACCTGTAGAGGATGATAGCATGCGATTAAAGTTAGCTCAGTTTTATTACGAGATCAGCCCATCGCCCAGTGTTTTATATACGTGCTCATTTACGTCTAGATTAAATCTCCTAATAAAATCCTAGCGACAGTTCTCAGAGTACTAGAGTATATTCCCATATTAATATGATCATCTATAAATTAACTATTAGTGGTCTTCCTACACTCTGTTTATTCAAGTAAATACAAGCCGTATATGATTTGACTCTGTACCAAATTTTGTTTGAATTCGTCTGTTCGTTTGTAACATTTGATTCATTTGACGTTTTATTGGCATATCCTGAGCTTTAACTAGCTAACTTTTTGATCCCTGCACATTGTTGTTTTACAAGTGTGTTACAAAACACTTCGCATGTTTAATTAAAATGTGAATGTATTAAATATTATGTTTTCTTTCTTGGAATTCTAATGAAATTTGCCATATAATTGGCATTTGTGCTGAATAAGAACAAAGACCACTTTTATTTTACGGTGTCCTGATCACGCAAATGTTAGCGTGGCCTGTTGATAGTAATAAAAAAGTGTATAAATGTCCTGTTAGTTAATACTTTACAAATAATAGTTGGTAGTCAATTGACCTAAAATGATAAATAAAACTATAGATAGGTCAATCACGCATAACTGATCGCTTGATAATAGCTGTGATAATAGTTATTGCGTGTTGAATCACTAATATTAATGATACTTAGTTTGTTAGTAAATGTACTAAATAAAAAAGATGTGTGTATGTAAATGATGTTAACAATGATTTAGTAGTTGTAATAGATTTGTTCTATTATATTCTAATTTTACATGAAGTGTAACGCCATAGATATCTTTTTCTATAATCTACATCTCCCCAGCACCAGAGGACGGTAAGCCGGCCTATCTCATATATATAGGATATCCTGGACATATATAGTAATGTCCAGGATATCCTATATTGTAGACTAAATGATCCGACAGACGTGGTCTTTTTTAAACTATGAATATTGAATTCGTATTGGTATTATTGACAAAAAAAAATCCGCGCATATTTCTCAATTTTTCTTTTCCAAAGATTTTTATTAAAACGAACCTCTCTAAAAGGAAATAATATTTTTAAATACAATCATGTTTATGAAATAATTTATAATTATAAATTCGTTATTAGGCCTTATCAAATTACATATCTACTGATTTAATGAAGGTAATTAATTATAACAATATAAGTATTAAAGACTACAACTTACCCCAATCATTTTAGGGTCGAAAATGAGATCGACAAGATGATGTAACGCCAGTCTCTGCAGCAGGGCGTGTGGGAGTGCTACAGGGAGCGGCTCCTGGCCCATCCTGGTGATCAGAGCTGGTAGTAGCTGACGTGTGCAGTCGTTGCTAGCGCCACGGACAAGAGCACAAACCGCACTCTCCGCCGGTGCTCTCGCTGCCATCACCTTTTTCGTTTTTAATACAAATTTGGTTACTTCATTCTTTTTGTAAGCATTTCTATTTCGCATTTAATGTTAAAAATGCTATTAATAATAATAGTTTTATTTGTAACAGATTTTGGGTACATTTCATGTACACTGTTATTGAAAATACGGTCCTTGCAAAATTTAATTTTATTAAGCCTACAAGTCTTTAAGTATTAAATTATTGATTGTTCATACAATTATTATATTTTATTCTATATGTCAATTTGTATGTAATCTAAGGTATAATTTATCATTATGAATTTCTATAAATTCTTTTATTTTTTTTGTAGGTCAGCAGACGGACAATGTATAGACTGATAACTTTGCATGGTGATAATTATTTATTTCAAAGCAAGTATCTAATAATTTATTCCCTATATTAGTAATCGATACGCACCGCTTCACTGAGTGCCCACATATGTTGTACGAGAGATAACGCGGATGACTCCACTTTCTGCACGTTTGCGGCTTCCAACAATGCACTGTGGAGCTGGTCTGCTGCTTTCACAGCTGATATCCAATTTTCCTGTATAAAAATGATAGATTTTTCTTCTACAATTTGCATTGAATTAGAAAATAATGAAGTTTTCAGATTAAATCATAGATCCTGATAGAGGCGTGGCCTGTTTCGACTTCGAGACGGCAAAACATTATTATTAGATACAGACACTAAAACTGTATAAAAGTTAAGAGTTAAGCGAATAAGTACAATAGATAGATGTGAATAGTCACTTTATTTTACGAGTGTAGTAGCTTAACAATGGATATGAATGTTTCTGGTTGTGATTATTTCTTAATATCTAATATTATCTATATTTTATTATATATTCTATATTTCTGAATACCATTAATCATTTCCTGGTATTCTTTATATTTGAACTAATAAACCTATATACACCCAAAATATAGGTTATTAGTTAACAAATATTTAGATATAACTGCCATATAATTCAAATAAAATTCGAATACATACCTATGTATTAAAAAAAAAATCAGGCACGAATTCAAAATATTAATCACAGTCGTGTATTTAAAAGCTATTTTACTATTGTGATAAGTACCTGATTTTTATTGATTTTAAATCTACGCCATACTTTTAAATCTATTTACATTTCGGCATAAAAAGTGTAAGAAAAATAAAAGAGCAAGTGTATTAAAAAACCATTACCGATAATGATCTCGTGATATTATATAACACCATACATCGATTTTTGATTTAAACAGAGTTTGTGTTATGGTTACTAGACAACTAATATAAATACATAGATACGTTTTTTTTTGTAAATACATACATAATATACATAGAAAACGCCCAGACCGACAATCAATCACACTCATGAATACAAATGTTTGTACCATGCGAGTATCGAAACCGCGACCGTCGGAAGTAATGAGTTGTGTTTAACCGCTAAACCACCAAGGCCATCAAACATATAGATCTTAGATTTTCTTATGAGAGTTATAACTATAGGTAGATAATGTAACACACCGTGTTATGTAACTGGTTGGCAACATGCTGAGGCACAATTCCCGATTCCTCCCAATCATAACGGTCTCTCAATGGAGACGGAGCTCGAGGAGATAGCAAATCTGTTTCTGCAGCCGGTGTTGACGTGAGAAGACTCAGGACAAATCTGGGTAAAACCAAACATCTTTAAAATTTAAGTTCTCAATATAGAACAAGTACTACTTCTAACCAACTTCAAATTAAAGAGGTTCTCATTTTAACTGATTTTTAATTTAGATCAAAGGATTTAGATCATTATTTTTACATTTTGAAGCTGGTGTTTCTCATATTACTATGTGTGGTGTCATCATTAATTAATATATATCTATATAATATCAATTTCAGCATACAGAAGATCATTTAGTATTTTTTTAGCACTAAGTCGGTTTTTTTAGAAGCCTGAAGACGCTTATATAATATTTATTAATAATCATAATTATTGTAACTAACCCATCTCGTTCTAATTGAAAACGCGTTTGATGCCGCCGGGGTGATACGGTTGGGCTCCTCTGCAAATTGTGCAGTACCTCCACTTCCCTATGTGGTTCTATAGGACTGGGAACTTTATCTGGTGATCGCACTTCTGACAGGGTTAAAGCAAATCCGGACCCATCCCTCACAGTTTCTTGCTTGTCGTTTTTAGTCCGAAAGTAGTCGTATAACTCACTTAAAGATTTCGATTTTAATGTCACTTTTCCGTCGGTGATATAAGTTTGCTTTTGAGATTTAGTATGAATAACTGGCAGTGGTATTGGTATGCCACTTTTTTTCGGCGGCTTTACTTGTACTTCATTTAATAAAGCCTTACGCTTAATTTCGTTCATTTTTGTTATTATTACAGGCGTTAATTGTGTGGTCATTTCAATAATATTGTCTTTTTTTAATGAGACTAATTTATTTTGATTAAGATCGTCCTCACTAGAAAGTAGATTTTCACTATCTGGCGTCCGTATTTTAATACTTTCCCCTCCAAAGCGCACTTTTTTGACCACAACATCAGTATCCTCAGAGTCACCATCACTATATTTCAGCATATTTCTATCCGAACTATCACAGTCTTCTTCACTTGCAGTATTCTTCTCTGAACCTGACTCGTTTTCTTCCAATACGGTCATAGTAATGGCAGTATCCGCGTCAAACTTGATTTCAGTTTCTATTATTACTTTAGCATAATTATTATTACTACTGTAGTATGGTAGGTGTGCAAATGACTCTTCGGAAGAAGAGTCAGTCGATACCCTTACGGGAGTAGTAATCGGTGTATTAAACACGTGATTAATCTTTAATAAAGTTTGATTATTTTCACGATAAGCTTTCCTAGGTGCATAATAAACGTCCATAGAATCCTCGTCATACATTTCACACAACTGTCGAAATTTATCTTGAACTTTGAAATCTAGCTTGGAGAGCGACATCATGTAATCTCGTGGTCCACAAACTCTTCGAAGTTTCAATAACGCTCGCTGAGCAACATCTCTGTGTATAGGATCAAACAGTTTCTCTCCTAATATTTGAAATATTGGGAAAGTGTTCAATGCGGGATTCCTTCTTTTAAGTATGTTCATTACGGATGGTATAGATAGTATTAATCCAGTTATGACGTTCACTTTGGTGTCAATGTTCGCTGATTGCGGCCTTATGTTCTGATATGAGCATTTATCTAGTATCGCCCGAGCGGCGCACTCTGTATCCTCGCAATGCGTGCAGAAAACTTTGAGTGCATCCAGTGCACCCTTTCGGACATTTGGCGAGTTGTGGCCCAAGTTGTCCACTACTTGGTCGAACGGGAACGACAGAGCGTTTCCTGACAGAGGTAGAAGGTCAGCGAGCACCCGAAGCGCATGAAGCCGGACTTCCCATTCGGGATGAGTGAGGCGGTCACGGATAGCGATGTAAAGAAGTTCGACATCTAAATCCGGGGGCAGAGCCTGTGCACGCAGCACGCGGTCCCACAAGGGAGCGAGAGGTGGCGGCGGCGTCTCGGGTAGTTGCATGGTGCGCGAATGACGGGTCGGCGGGCTGGCTGGCGTGCCCAGCCGCGCCGCTGGCCGACGAACAACTGGGTTAATGATCGGACGGTAAGCCACGCGTTCCTGACCAATCGATGGAAACACATATCCATAATTCCATATACATAATTTAAAATGGTTCCTATACAATGCAATTCCCTAAGCATGACGGTAACAAAAGAATCCCTTTTCTATACTTTATCGTCGATACTAAATAGACGTGAAAGTAATGAATTTTCTAAAGGATTGGAAAAAATATTACCTTTTATCAATTGTAAGGCACATTGTGATTCAGACTCATAAAATGAAGTTAATCATCACGATATTAGGTACTTAGTTACTAACTGGTCTTAGACGATAACATAAACATTACATACCTACTTTAATTTAACAAATCTGACTGACCGGTACGATCGTAGACTCGTCTCTTCTATCTTAATGTGAAATCGTCTCTCCATCCTGTAATATGACTGCCTTATCTCACCCATCAACCATCTCCAAAACAAATAGCAGAAAATGTTAATTCCCCTGCGAATGATGCCTAAGTTATATTTTAACCTGTTCTGCAATAATATTGATAAATATGAATGATGATAGTAAGAACCATTAGTGTGTTTAGCAAGAATTTTAATATAATAAATTAGCTAAATTTGAATAGAATTAGTTGTAACATATTTAGGCCAAAGTGAAAGATTTTTCATTCCTTATTATAATAAAGGAATTACTGGACTTGACTATAATAATGTTTACTATCTACACTATCCACTAAACGTAACGAGGTAAACGCTAGGTACTCTATTAATTGCATAAATAATTAATCAATATTATTTCAGAACAGGTTAAAATATAACTTGTTGTCCTTGATTTGAATAGTACATGCTGTACTTCGAGGCTATTATTTTTGAACTAAGGAATGACAAATCTTACACTTTTACTTATCGATTAAAATTTAACCAATTCTCTTTCAGCATTACTGGAAATTAGTAACGTAGAAGAAATGAAATAGGCAATTTCATTTCTTTTACGTTATTCACAATAACCTTCGTGCCAAATATTAAGATTTAGTCTAATTAGTAAAACTTTTCTAGTTGCCTGCCTATCGCAATACACAAGGAAAGGTCAACATCTTTACTGAATTATTGAGAACCTATAAACTATAAACCTTAGGCATTTAATATTAATTTCAACTTATGAAGGTGTTGTACAAGGTTTATAAAATTACTACCAATACAAGAATACGCCTGAATAATACGAGAAACATTTTTTTTATGTCTGGCAATGGTATGTTGCACCCGTTTGCGCTAACGCTTTACAAAATCGGTCTACCAGTGTAGGATTATAAAATGAGCATAAGATTAGGTCAATTAGCCCATTGTGAAATTATATCATCGGAAACGGCGTGGAGGTCAACCTTTGTACATTGTACATTTCTAGCAATGAGCCCATCAGTCCACATTACTGACCCCTTCTTCAACCCCTTCCCCCATTCAGAAATTATTTTTTTCTAAATGGATGATAATGGAATGGTACAGTGGAGGATGAAAAATATAGTTAGTTATCGGGACAAATTGAATTTGACATGGTACATTTCACAATTCAAAATTAGTAACAATCCCCTTCCCCCCAAAACTATAGACCGAGGTAAACTTTGTCTGCGTCCTCAGTATCACCTCAGCATTTCAGCCTACACTATTTTGGACTGACATATTAGACCTCCGGAATGACAATGGAAGTGTACCTGCCACGTACACACGGTCACGTGATTAAGTAACATCCGTGGTGCTATACACTATATTGACGATGGTTACCATTGAACCTTGATGGATGGGTGCTTACCATCCAGATGGCTTGCCATTTCGGTTACATAAAAAAATATAGTAGATATGAATTTTGCATTATTCAAAATTAGTTCCCTTTATGAACGAAATCGAATTCCCTTTATGTTCGAATCCATTTGTTTTAAAACTGAGTAGATTCTTTAATTCTTTTAGTCTTCTGAGAGTCGTAAACTTGTAAATTCATGTATTACATGAATGTGGGTACACGTTTTATGAATGAAGACGTAATGGTACCCGCCTATTCGAACGGCTTTCTTTGCTAGGGCACTAATAGATGATACGATAATAACAGACTTAGGTCCGCCAGCATTACTTAACGAATTAACCAGGATTTACCCACGATAATCTAACTAAGCTAACTTTATGCTCATCCTATTATCCTAAGCATAGCACAAACTGGTGCCAGTCAATGATCATCCATTAAAAATCACTATCATTGCCCTTCTATACACGTAAATTAGCAAATGTGCCATGGTCATTGTCATACATTAAAAGTTTGGATATATCTACTTGAGTTGTATACCTACTTTTGTGAGGGAAGGCCAAGGTCAAAGGTACGATGGAATGAAAATAAAAAGTCGACGTTCTGGGTATAGTGACTAATGATTAATCAGCATTTTTTGTGTAAATTTAATAAAATGTAGACAAGTATAGAAATATCGGTTAGTCTTTTTAATAAATAAAAATAAACTAGTCTTTTATAATTGTATATTAATATTATAAATGTAAGTGTCTGTCAAACTGTCCGTGTGTTTGTTATTTTTTCACATCTAAAAGACAGGAGGAATTTTAATTAAACTTAACATGAAGGTAAATTGTAACGTAAAGATGTACATACTTAGGCTATATATTTTCTCAAAATAGAAAAAGTCGCGGGAAACCGCTGGTTACCCATATACTTCCCAATCAATAGGACAGTTTATATGGAACAACAATGAGTTTAAATAAACCGGAATATGAGTACCGCTAAGTAAAACTGATAATTCCCTTATTAAAGTCCCTTTTTTTATTTAACATAATCTAGATATGAACTTTGAGATTGGTAGTTTTTAATGGTGTGCAGCGGTACAGACAATTTTCGAAACAACAGTTGGTATTTATTTCTGTAACAATTTTAACTTCTGTACTTACATACACAATCAAAAATTTTCATCTATCCAAAGCATTATCTAAACGCAGTCCGCCATTTTTTATTAAAACAAACAACAAAACGTCAAAACGTCACTTTTGGCTTTGATTTGTCGCTATCGAAGTATTATAGTTTATTTGAGAATATATCTCGATGTTTTTAGCTATAAAATACATTAAATGAAATTATTCTAATTAAGCAACATGGAAACTGTGTCACTCATGTATATTAAATATAACTACAAACAACAAAATGTGTGAATATCTATGAAGTTACCAAGATAATGTCCATACGATGGAGTATTTCTCACTGTTGTTGTTGATTACTAGTTTTGGAATTATTGATATATTTGCTGAAAATGATAACTGTACGAGAGCCAACATTCGTGGAGACTACAAGTTGTGTGTACGCAAATTGTCAGAATCATTGTCGACAAAATTCAACGAAATAGTTATTAACGAGCTCGGAAGCGAATACACGGCACATTTCGAAATAAGGTCAGCGCACAAAATAAACCACTACCCGGTGTCTGATAATGACACCTTGTTTATTATTGCCGATAAATTGAGCTACAAAATTTCAACTGCTGCAAACATACTGCAAGATATTATGAAAAATGTTACAGGTAGTAACAATACTCCGTCCTACACGCATCCGTGTCCATTCAACTCTATACGTAAGTCAGTGTTTATTAAAAGTTCCAGTGTCTACTATAATTTGCCAGTTGTGGACTCTACATCCAAGATAATGAGTAGATTTAAGGATTTAAAAGTTAAGAGACAGTATTTTTTGTCGCACATGGATTATGCAACTGATAAAGACTGCACAACCATGCCCCATTCACATTTACGGTATTTATACCATAGTGTTGTCCACCCTGAACCAAAACTTGTTGTCTTTATAATAGACAACAGTATGAGAGCAGATTCGTTACAACATGCTGTCAGTGTGGCCAAAGAGACAGCATATGCATTGCAGAGTACTGACTACATCGCATTGAAAATGACAAACACAACTGATTTTGTTAAATTTGAAGATAGTTGCAGTAATGATGGTGTGTCTGACTTAGGGAACGCTACAGAAAACAATAAACTACTACTGCGAGAGTATTTGGCAAGTTTAGATAATGCTCCATCAAATGTGTCCCCACTCACTATTAGTCAAGAGTTAAGTAACCTTTTGACACTAAAACCCTTGCCAAAAAATAAGTTATTTATTTTTTTAACTGATACAAAAGTATTAAAAAATGAAACATGGCTCAAAATATTTCCATACTCAAATGGTGACAATAATATGAAATTTGCAATAGGTTTAATATATGAGAACCAATCTGATAGAAATAGTTCATTAGGTATTCTCCATATTGATAAGTGGCACAATCACTCAACCAATCATTCTGTTATGAGGGTTCACATCAATGACAGTGGTGTCATTGGACAAGTTGCGTCAGCATTCATTTCATTGCTGCCTGGTAACTACAACAGTATGAAGTTGAAGGTCATAGGTCCCATTTGGGAAGCGACAGAAAGGGATTTCATGGTATCTCTAGTAATACCTACAATCAATGGTGTTTTAGGTTTAGATCTGTATTGGTCCGATTTAGCTGAAGATATTGTTTATTTTCAAGGTGTGAGTGTACAGAAGAGAGCATTTGTTATGGACTTTTCAGGCAAAGTTCTCATGCACACATATTTTCCACGACCTGAAATATCCTCTGAAAAAATTAAATTCACAACTCTAGAGAACATAGAAACTTATGATTTTATAAATATAGTAAAGCAGGAAATGTTATCCAATAGCCATGGTAATTTTACTATGACCAACCATAACTCAAGTAAATCTATTGTTTATTCCTGGAAATGGGTTGAGAATTTGTATATTGTGTGTATTGTATCTGAAAGTGGGGAACTCAGCAATCCCAATAAGACTAATATATATTTTACTAGAAGCAACAAAGAGATATTGTTTCATAGATTAGATTTATTTCCTCCAAAAACTGGTAAAGTTTGTAGACACTTTAAACAAATTGCAACTATAGACCAAGGCACAGTTTATTTAAGTCCATCTAGTTTTCAGTCACCATTCACATATCTGTATGATATGGGAGATGGTCAAGAAGCTGTTACTTACATGCAAAACTATTTGGCTTACCTGAAAAGTTTAGCTTATGGTTTGCTTTCTAATCCGGGACTAAAGAATGAAATTCAACAAGATGTTGGTTTCCTGAATCCTATCCTATCATTTTATAAAAGGCAGCATTTACATGGTGCTTATTCTAAGTATATAGTCAGAAGATATGCTGTCACAGACAGTGGTGTATTGGTTATGTTCCCTGGAACTGTTTTAGAGTATGATTATGAGCCTGTAAAGAGACCATGGTACACATATGCTGTTGAATATCCAGGTAAAATAATTTTAACTCCACCCAATTTAGATGTTGGTGGAGCAGGTTATATAGTGAGTATTTCATATGCAGTGAACAGTCCTATGCAACCAACAAAAGTAGTTGCAATGGATGTAACAATGGGTTTTCTTTATAAACTTCTCATTGATAGTTTTCCTTTATGTGCTTTGTCTTATGTGAAATGCTTTATCATGAATAATCGTGGTTACTTAGTTTCTCATCCTGGATTGATGGATCCCAACAGCTCTGGCCCTATAGAACAGCAACATATCACACACAAAGAGTCAATGATTGCTATAGATATGTTAAACCACAAAGGTTTCGTTACAAAGAGGTTGTGTAATAATTTTTATGATAAAACAATACAAAGGTTTTATGAATTTAATACATCATTACCAAATGTACTCTCTAATGTTGTGTCAGGTGATCATTGTGTTCATTATTATATAGCCGCAATTCCCGGTACAAATGCTTTCATTGGTCTTGTCAATGCATCTTGTAGTGTTGGTGCATTTTGTCCTTGTAGTATGGTGGATCGCCTCTGTCTTAACTGTAATCGTATGGAACAGACAGAATGTGAATGCCCTTGTGAATGTAGTTCTGAATTATATGAATGTCCTAATGCTAATGTTTCTAGATTCAACCAAGACATACCACTCTGTGGAATGATGCCAGAAAATAATAACCATAAATCCCACTATTTTAATAACTTTGCAGAAAATTTAAAAACATGCTTTGACTTTCAATGTGAAACCTATTTGACACATTCTTCTTGCCTGGGTGTGTTAGGTTGTGAATGGTGTCAAGTGGACATTGATGGCAGATCGCCACTGTCGGCTCCATTTTGTACATCGCAGTCAACATGTTTCAATGGAGTTTTAGGTGCACTAACTCCATATGGAGAAAGCACTTTTGGTCACGTAAATAGAGACGCGTTTGGCAACTATTCAGCCATAGGGCCAATTGCTGGGTGTATAGTGACTGTAAGTTTAGTCATAGCTGTAGCTATTTACTGTTATAGACAGAATGTCACTTCTGCTAGTTGCCATAATTTATATGTAGATGGTCCAGCCGAAACTTGGCACGAAGCAGACGTCCAAATGAGTCATTTACAATCTGAAGATATGCACGACTTATCTGGCCAGGATAAATTGTTACCCGCTATGGAAATAGAAGCTCCAATATCACCCTACAGGGTTGTAACCGGGTATAGACGAGCACATACTGCAGGTGGTTCAGATCATGGTTATTCAACCATGACCCCACATGAGGACTCTGAGGCAACTGGCTTCTCTGTGAATGATCCAATTGTTTTATCTGATGATACGAAGTCAGATGTAAGTTATCCTCTTCCAGCTAAAATAAAGCCTAGGTTGATAAAAGGTGGTGACTTAAGCATAACTGTTCTGCCTTGCGGCAAAAATAGCGTTATAGCTCCAGTTACTGTCCATAGACACATGGAAGCTTCCTAACAGTTAATTTATTTAAATTAAATCTACCTCCTCTGTAAATTATAAAAAATAATCTGTACAGTACATAATAAAATATACCTAATACTTACATTTAATTGTGATATTTATATATTTGTCATAAGTTTTTGATGTGTTTTGACAATCATGAATGTATTTTGTTATGAATAATTACACCCACTGATGTGACATTTGTAATTTTTTATAGGTAGTTAAATAATGCAAAATAATATTTTCTATTCAAAGATTGCCCATTTCTTTTTTTTTTAGTTTTTTACACTATTAGGTGCATACAGATTGTATATTGAGTATGTATCACTAGAAGTGATTCTTTATGTTAACTTAAGTTTTGTATATATTGTTACTAACGTAATGTCAACGCAGTTTGAGGTTTTTTAACAAAATATATGTATATAACTATTACAAATTTACAGAAGCATGAGTCTTTTATGAGAAATTAATATTAAAATTATGACTTAAATCGAACTGAAAAAAGCAATCATAGCAGTTGCAACGGTGGGTGTTTTAAATGTAATTAGTATCACAATAACTTAATTATGGTGCTCTTTTTTTGTGAATGTTCATTTTCTTCAACAATTTTAAATGTTTTTTATAGTTTTATAATAGTTAATTAAATTAAATTCATTAAACACAATTTATACTTACTGTGACTATTTCTCGTATACTTGTTTCTTGTTGTTTTTTTTATTGTAGTATAATTAATATCAAATATACATGTTTGTATACAATGTACTTATGTCCTATTGTCAGTATTGTATAAGATTAAAGGTATTAAGAGATTTAAGTTACTGGAACACTAAATCGGTGATTGTAACTTTTTTAAACACATGACATGTATTATTAAGTAAATTGTTACTTAATGTACATTAATTCCTACCTTATTTATAAATGTGCAAACATATTTTAAACTAAATCTTCAGATTATCTAGAATTTCTGTAAACGTGGACTGTTTACAAAATTTATACCTACAGCACAGGACAAATAAGGTTGTCTTTACAATATACAGGTTTCTAGTATAAGCTATGTTTTTATACTTGTACTTTATGTATTAGATTGTAAGTGAAATAGATTTTTAATAAATAATGTGCCAGTGCCTCCTGTATTGTTAAGTTACTTATTTTTAAAACGTATTTTTAAGACTGATTTCTATGTTGCATTTATTTGATGTAATAAATTTCTTTTTTAAAGAAAAAATATCTATTATTTATGTAAACTAAAATTATATGGATTTAAGCATAGTAAAGTGAACGAACTAGCATCTATATAAAAAATAAAAATAAATAGAGGTGCCCTATTGCACTGTTAGAGTAACTAATGTTATAAAAGAATATAAAAAGGAAATCCATTTGTATGATAACAAATAATAAATAAAAAATAATTCAATTAATTTATTTTCTTTTTTACCAACTATTTTACACATATTAATTCACTATATACAGCTCAGACTGATGAATGAAACCATTGACAATGTCGAATTAGATCCATTTTAAATGGAACAAAACAGTAATAATTTTCCCGAGTGCTATTGCATACGATGGATCGGTGGAATCCAGCTGCACCATTCGCAATCTCTATCTATCTTTATCTTAAACAAGCATACGGCCCATATGTATATTACTGTAGAATTGGTAACAGTAGATATCCCCCTATATTTTAATATTATAAATGTGAAAGTGTTGTTGCTGTCTGTTTGTCTATTTTTCATGATTATATTTCGAAAAAAAAAAAACTTGACATGAAGACAAGGTGTCGTTGACTAGACTATATTTAATATAAAAAAAAAACAGATGAATTCGCGGGTAACCGGTAGCATGTATACTCTTCGGATATCTATTCGCAGGAGTGCCGCGTTTTTGCTGTAGTCTAGTCATGGATGACAAGACGCAAGTGACAATTGAATATATTTGAACGTTGAAGAATGACACTTCTATTGTAACTAGCATATTTAGCAATACAAACCCATTGATTACCAAAAAGAACACAAACATTGTCATTCCTGTGATATCATTAATGATCTACAGTCCAGTTTGTTTTAAACTTTCAAGATTGTTAAGAAATGTATACATTATATAAATGGGATATTGCAGAACTCTTAACAGAAATATGTGGCAAGCCTTAGAATTGCGCACGCAATGGGTGTAGTTTATTCATCATCGAACCGTATATGTGTATGCGTGGGCTGCGGCGACGCGGGCGATGCGGGCCCGGTGTCGGCGGCGACGAGCGCAGAATGTCGTGCGACAAGCCGCGATTTACCGCGCGGCCGCTTACTCGCACGATTACTTTCCGCTCGCAACCATTGCTCCTCTTCCTCTGAGCCGGAGAGCGTTCGCGCGTGATTACTTGAGTTGGCGCAGTACTGAAATGTATATTGCTAGTTGAGATGGGAGGAAGTAAAAAGAGAGATGTCAGCAAAGCCCTTTGCTACATTTTTTTAATTGTAACCTCGGCTCGTACCAGTTAATTAAGATAGTTGATCATAAAAGTGAAATATTTTCTCAAAGGCACAGTCAAAATATATAATATTGAACTTTCATCTTACTAATATTATAAACGCGAAACTTTATGAGTATGAATAGAAAGATGTTTGTTACTGTTTCACGCAAAAACTACTGAAAGGATTTTGATGAAACTTTATAGTAATATAGTTTATACATCAGAATAACACATAGATTAAAAAGATATTATTTAAATCAGGCGCAATATATAATGATAAATGTCAAGTAAGTGTGCTGCAGACGAAATTAAGCGAGTCAGGTAGTAACAAATATATTGTAAAGTCGTGTTGGTTACTTCATAGGTTAAACAATCATATTCATGCTTCAAGTGTACTGCGTAATAAAAAAAATCAAACTGGTACAATACCTCGTCTGCAGCTTTTGCAGAATCGAATCGGATTATGACTTCCGATTGTCCTTCTTTGGCATCCACGTGCATAGCATGAATGTTGCTTCTAATCTGTAAATAAAATAAAAATAGTTTTCCTGATTAAGATCACAAACTACCGTTACATACATTACAGAAAAAACATCTATATTATTTTTGTTTTTTACTAGTTGTATACTAGTAAAAAACAAAGTACTGTTTTCATATTTATTTCTAAGGTTGTTAAGGTTTTCACAATAATAATATTATATCAGGACAATTTGGTCTTAGAGGTCTAGCGGTTAAGCACACCGCCTTACATCCGATGGTCGCGGGTTCGATTCCTCGCACTGCACAAATATTTGTATTCATTAGTATGATTCTTTGTATCAGTTTGGGTATTTTCTATGTATAATATGTATTTACGAAAAAATATATATCATCTAGATATATATTTTTAGAGCTGTGTATTAATAATAGACATATATAGATACTAAAGCTTATTATTAAAGACATATATAGATACATTTTAAATTGTAAATACATCCATAATGTTGATAGAAAACACCCAGACCGATACAAACAATCCTACTGAGTAAAAATGATATAAAATAATTGATTCGAGCCAGGAATCGAACCCGCGACTATAGGAAGTAAAGCAGTGAGGTAAACCGCTAGACCACCGAAGCCGTAATATCGTTAATGTTTACCCGAATGTTTATGTTTGCATACGACACCCTTGCGAAGCTTGTTATTTTAGTTTATAAATTAAAGAAAAACATTTTACTTACTGTTCTTTTAGTGAGTCTAACGTCTAAACATGGCTCGGTGAGAACTTCCTTAACGAAGACACCTGGTATTCTTTCGAATGGCACTATATTTTTGGTATCAGTCTCCACTGTGTTATTAACTGAAAATAATTGTTTATTATACACACAATATCCAATCTATTCCTTTTTTGTAACTGGTATTCTTTTTTATTATTGAGTAGTATTTTTTAGCTGAAGCCAACCACTTTCGACATACATGAACAGCACAACAAATATCTTATAGTATCATCATGACTTCCGTGGTACCCCTAATTGCATCCTGAGGACTCGATTAAGTCTCGTCATGACACCCTGTAATTTCATTGCCATATATCTCAATTTTTCTTTAAATTGAAACAACTTACAAAACAAGAGAGGCAGCATTGATAATACACATGCATATGACTCTCTACAAACACTAATTCAATAAGATTTTGAACAGGTGGGAGGCTCGGTGTAAGCTCATTTGCCTTAGTATTTCTTTGGAAATACAACCCCGCTGGAATTTAAGCTTGCTAATATACTGTATTAAGTTCTTTATTTTTTGTGAAGTGAATTTTTATGTGAATTAATTTATACCTGGCTCTGCGCCCACAGAAGAAGCCGCTGGCGCTGGAATGCTGGAGTAAAAGTGTCGTTTATTTTGCAGATTGGCCTTCATTTCCTTCATATACTTCCTCTGTAGATTCAAATATTTATTCCTTAGAGATTTCCACTCTGACTTCGAGAGAACTTGCAGTCCCCATAATGCACCCTTGGGTGCTTCATTTTTGTTTGAGTTGTTTTTCCCTTTACTTTCTCCAGCTGTCCGTTTTCTCAACTTATTTATAGACTGATTTTCATCTTTACTTTCATCGTGACTTATCAACTCATCTTTACAATCACTATCTACTGGCTTGCTTTCCTACAATAAAATATAATAAGAATATCAAATTATACATACTTTTTTAAACCAACTGCAAGTAGTTAGTCAGTCTTACAAGTTACTTGACACAAGTGTTGTAAATCTAGAAAAAATCATTCATTCATTCCCTCAAACACTGACTTGGGGTTGATTATGGGCATGGTTCTTACCAAAATATCATTTTACTTTTGTCAACCCTAGAGTATCTATGGTCTGGTTAGTGACTTCTTTGTTTATCTTTTTTGTAAGTTCTATTGTTATAAGTATAGCATCCAGATCATGAAAATGCTTGTAGCTATAAGATCACAATTTTGAATTCACTTTTTAACATGTTATTTATTATCTGTGCCCAATAAGCAGTTATTACTGTTATTATAGTAAAATACAATTAAAATAGTACTCACAGTTGGTGTCAAAATACTCTTATTTTCATCCTGAAATTAAAACAATGTAAGTAATTATAATTATCTGTGTATTTATTTTATTTATTTATTTAATTAACACAATATAAACTTACAGCTAATTGCCAACACGTTTATATTTTATAACTATTTATACTACTTAAAATTATATTTTATTAATTATGGAAGGCAAGGCTTCTGTATATACGTCAGCATCTTGGACCTTACCTAAAAATAAATTTAATAATTGCAATGCTCTCATAGTGGGAGAATTGCTAGCGTGGCTTGTGCGTACCGACGCGATTGCAAACAGTCGGACACGACGACGGGTAACACTTCTCACGTAATTCAGTGGGATATTGAATCCTATCCGTTCTACAATGTATAATACATATGTATAAACATATAATGTGTGATTAAATCTATACACAGGGAGTCAAAACATAGCTGGTCATTAACAAATTTACTATTATATTTATACAGTATACATTTTATTATGTCTTTTTTGATCTCCTTACACATATAATACATATTGTAAAATTGTATGGTTTGATGTTGATCTAAATAGATTGCCTTTTATACCTCATAGTGTTATAATTGTGTTTCTTAAATATATTTCTGGTATATTAAAGTGTTCAAAAATAAATAAGAACCATACAATATTGTATAGTATATAAAAAGAAATAATTCAACTTACACTAGGAGTTACCACTGTTTTTTCACTATCAGACTCCTGTTCCAAACTCTTTTGGAGCTTTTTGTCCTTATTCTTCTTACTTTTCTTCTTTGGTGGTTCACCATCTCCCTTTTCATCTTTATTATCAGACCCAATATCTATAGGTTCCTCCATCGAAAACATCTTAATGGATGATAGTTCCTCAGGAGGCATGTATGTGGGTAGTTTGCACCCCATCTTGGTGAATGCATGGATACACTTTTGTGCATCTTCTGGCTTATCAAATTCTATAAAGCCATAACCCTGTAACATAATAATTATAAGCATTCATAAGTATATCTGGCGTAATCAGACCTATTGTTGACTGTAGATATGGGAAGGCATCCACATTTTATGAATACATTTGAATCCAATGCAGTAGGCATTGGATTCAAATGTACATATAAAATGCATAGGAGCCTACCTATCTTACTTACTTGTTACATTAGTCCCAAGTATAGTGTAATAGCTATTTTATTTTTTGTATAGATAAGAAAGTACATTATGTTTGATTTTATTTTAAGGTATACTATGTGAATTTATATATTTAAGCCTATGTGGTCTAACAGTTTAGCATACCACTTCACTTCTAACTACCTACCTAACTACCACTACACTTCACTTTTCTTCTTGTCATGGGTTTGATTCCTAGGATGGTACAAACATGTTTTTACAAAAAAAAAAATTAAGTTTTCCATCAGTTGTCTAGTACCCATAACACAAATTCTGCTTATAATGAGACTAGATGGTATCACTCTATGAATTGTCCTAGGTTATTATTAATATTATTATATTATAAAGAATATTCTCTCTTTTTTGTTGATTCATATAATTTGTACCTTACTGGACTAATAAATGTTTGATTAGTATGTCTAAACATATGCATACTACTATGTATATATACTAGTAGAGATAGAATAATTAGAAAAGTGCTTTACCTTAATTCTTTGAGAGTTTTTGAATTTTGGCAATGAGATATAGGCTACATGTCCATATTCAGAAAATACTCTTTGCAACCACTCCCTGCTTGCCGTGACTGGTATAGACTCCACATACACTGTTCTCTGGTCTGCGTCATATGGAAGAAATGGTGTTTGTCTTTTAACCTGGAGAAAAGTTATTTTTATATAAAAAATATTTTGTCACCTTTGAGGCTTCTTTTCCTTAGTATTTACTAGGATTCACATCAAACATTGGAAATTTCAAAAATTGCAACATAGCATTAAATATTCATATAAAAAAAAAATGTATGTTTGTTTCTAATGGATAAAGTAAACAATGTTTTATTTTAAATTCTTTTACCCTTATGCAGGTACATTTTCAGTGTGTAAAATAATACGGTATTACCCGCGAGTAGTGTATGAGCCTATAGGTATGAAATTAAAAAAAAATTACCTTTGTTTTGTCATCAGACAATTCAAGCAAAGTGGAATGTTTCATTGCCTTCACTATATCATTCATATCTTGTGTCATTGATCGAATTTTGTTAAACTTAAGGAAAACTTCAACCGGCACGTAAGGGTCAGTTTTTACAAGTTCTCCTAAAAATCTATCCTTAGCTATGTTTGCGTCACTGAAGTAAAATTCCATTTGCTTTAATATGTTCTCATATAATTGTTTCTTGCGATGCCGTACTCGTTTTCTAGGACTGGTATCGAGTTTGGTCTCACCAGTGTCGCCGGTTACTTTTGCAACTTCTAAGTCCGACATTGTGATTGTAAACAAATAACTTCTAACCTAAAATTTATAAATATAATAATATATATAATTATAAAATAGATTATTATATAAATAAAAATATTAATATAATATAATATGTTCTTCACGAAATAACCTTTATTTATATGCAAAATAAAAATGTTTATTTCTGTTATTTTATCTCATTGCCGCCGCAAAAAATGAAATGTTTTACATTGACATTACACGATATTGCATTTCAATGTCAAATTGGCATTGACAAACCACTGGACTGACATAGTTATCCCAAGAAGGCGTAGTTTGGGGCCTCATTGCAAACTCCTTAATCTCGGATAATAACTCTTGGGGACTAGACGAATAATATGATAAAGACACCACACACCTTCGAATATTATAATATAAATAAATTTAAGTTCTTTAACACTAATAAAAATGCTCCTTGTAATGCGTTATTAAACATATTTTGGCGGCCTCGGTGGTCTTAGGTTTAGGAAATCGCTTTACTTCCGATGCTGCTTACTTTGGGACTAGATGGCGTTGTGTGAATTGTCCACGTCGCGTTGTCTGCATGAACTATTTAATAGTTTCTTGAAATCCGTGGCGTGATATGACATTATAGTGACATATTATATTTCTAATCTGTGCATTACCACCATAGAGTAATTATATAGCTGACACCGATTATGGATGAGTTTATGACTTCAGTGTATGTTTTCTGGTTCGTCTCCGTGATTAGGAGGGCAAAAATCGTTGTTTATTAATCATTTTAAATGTGTACTTAATCCTAATGCTGTTCTAATATGTTCATTGTTATTTATGTAGCCTCTTACTACCGTTTGTGCGAGTTTGTCGGGTGTGTTTGTTCATAATGTACCATCGTTAGATTTCCCAGATATATTTGTGCACAAAAAGAAAGATGACAGATATTATCTGCAATAGTGGCATTGTATCCGCTTAATTGTGTTTATTATTCGCGATGACTACAAGCACGAGATCTGCTAACGTAGGCTTGAAGCCGATCGAAGTGTCAAAGGCTTTGCAAGAGGGAGAAAAATTCATAAAATGGGATGAGGTGAGTTCGTACTATTCTTTTGAGTATTCGATATAAAATTTCACATTTCTTAATTATTATGTATTAATTCCATATCAAGAGCTTTTATTTCATTATATTTGACTTATTGTGATCTTGTTTCCAATAGGATTCTGGAAATGGTTTACCAGTCACTCTTCGTGTGGACCCTAAAGGTTTCTTCCTATTCTGGACTGATCAAAATTTAGAAGTGGAAATGCTGGACATTGCTACTATTAGAGATGTGAGAACAGGTGTTCATGCCAAAGTCCCTAAAGTGAGTAACCATTTATTGTCTTGTCATGATTTAAATTTGATATCTATTTTTAATATACAACAACTTAACATTTTAAAATTAAAATATATGCTCAATGAAATTGTGTGTATGTCTCAATGTATTTTTATATATAAATACCAATTGAAAGGTATAATTTGAAATATTTATTCTCTTAACTCTCTAAACTTATACCTACTACCTCTAATATGAGTTTTTGAGAAAAAGAGAAATGTAATAAATAATATTTTACTAATATGGTATGTTTTGCCAGAGAACTTAATTATTTGTCTTAATTATTTTTGTAATCATAATTAATACATATATGTATTATTTCAAATAATTGATGTTTTTTTATTATTAAAACTAATTATGCCATAAATTTATTATGGGAGTATTAGAAAACCTATTGACATTATGTAAGTAACTCTTAACTTAGATTACTTAACTTCTATTTTAATATTTCTTTTCTTCCTTTAGTGAGTCTTGAACAAATTAAAAAAAATAGTTTGAAACATTTTTTGTGAAGTTGGTAGTTCACTAGATTATTTAAAATAAAAAAATATATTTTGCTATAGTTTATTGTGTGGTTGAAAGTGTGTATACAGAAGTACCTATTTTGTACATATTTATATTTATGTGAGATAACATATCTAATAATAGTTTTCATATTATATTTTCAAATCTATCTCCAATAGAGAATTTGTCTATACCTGACTGTCATGTAGAAATAAAGTTATAACTAAAAGTTTGTTTTAGTGAGCAGAATTAGAATACTTGAATCTATAAAATTTATAATTGATCACAAAAAATTGTTTTTATTGTGATTATGATCATCAAGATATTGGTGTAATGATATCAATACAAATTACATGACTATGATGTGTTAAGAATAGCTGTCTGCTGATTAACATCTGTAAATTTTGAAAATTTATATACATAAATGAGTTTTTGTTAGTGAGTAATGAAAAGCTATTTATTTTAAAAATATTTATTTATTTGTAACACTTGAATGTTGTAGACATTAAAAAGTAAAAAAATATTGAATATAAAATCAAATAAGTACTGTTGTTGTGTGTTAATGTTTATTTTGAGAGATTTAAGGAGATGATTTTGTGCATTACATTGCCAAGTGTCTAATCATAAATATATGATTTAGTCATTTGGCAATGATCTAAAAAATGTGTGCTCTAAATCAAATGCTGGGTTTCTATCTGTCTATGTATGATATAATTTGTTATTATTCTGAATATGGGAGGCCCCTGTCATCATCTAGTTGCTTCAATTGTGTACAGGCTAGAATTTGAAGGATCAAAGGCATTATATGTTTTAGTTTAACGCTGGTACTATTAGTAAACATTTTGACAACAAATCTCCTGGCATTTCAACAAGTGTCCTGTTTACATTTATATTGTTTTTTTTGTTGTTCAAACATAGATAGTTGGCAACCCTAATAAAAGGCTCGCAATCGCGGCTAGTCGCTTAAAACTAAAGCGAGATGAATGGGTTGCGATTTTATTGCATGATTATTTACTTCCGTTGTTCACACAGCAGTGCCGCTTATTACAGCAATCTAGCGGGATAGGCGATGTAGGAAGTAGTGTAGTTAATGTATTCCTAGTCACTGTATAATATATGTAATATAGTTTCAGTGAACTATTAATATCCAAAGAACACTATTAGGGGCCTTTCATAAATAACGTTACAAGATAAGAGGCAGGAAAGTGGGCGACAAATTGTGACGAGTTCTAAATTTCGTGACGTCATTCAAAACCTAATTTCCGAACGATAAAATATTTTCAATACAATTTGTGACGTCACACTAGGAAGGGGGTTCACGAATGTGACAAGATTGGGTGGAGGGGTAAATATCCTGATATTTATGTCACGATATTTCTGGATGACTCATTAAGTATCCCGCTTCTCCGTTGCATATGTATGATGTTCATTATTTTCCTAGACAGCTCTTACCTGGTTATGAAGTTAATTGGTGATGAAATTTTTCTTATTTCATCACTAGAACAAGATATAATGAACATCTATTATGTCTATGAGTAAGATACTACAACACCAGAAACTAATGAATAGATTATTGTCTATTAACTATTTTCCTTTTGCCTTTTTTATTAGTCTTCCTCTCATCTCTAATTATTATTTTAATGACGGATAATTAAGACTGTCGCGACCTCGTTCTTGTTATTGTTAGACTATTTGGTATACCGTAGTTCGATTTCCATGAACGAGAAATTCTCGCAGAATAGAAGCTAAATTCTTGTAACGGTATCTCGTAATTTGAACGTATCAATAATGGTCTTCAGAATGTATTAAAAGGAAGAGGTGTTCTCGTTGTTAAACACATTTTTGCAATATGCTACACCATGTCTTCATTTTTCATTTAAATTGAGTCTATCCTGGTTAGTTTCATATTCGTTTTATTTTACACCACTTTACTTTCGATGATCGCTGGTTCAATTCCTTCATGATTATCATTGTTTGTATCGGTCTGGGTGTTTTCTATGTATATTACGTATATACAAAAAAAAACCTTAGTATGTATATATATATATCAGTCGTTCCCATAACACAAGCTCTGCTTACCTTAGGAGTAGATGACATAGAATGTGAATTGTGCAGGGGTATTAATATTATTATTTCGTCAGAATTTCTTAGTTCTGTACATAATTTTATATATTTATTTTTAATCTAATGAATGTTCTATTAGGTATTGTCCTCCGCTTCTAATTTTAATGCTGGATACAGATAATACAACTTGCGTCGAACTTTCATTAAAGTTTTACTCGTGGATCTCGGCCTGGATGCTCCGAGCCATCGATTTTAATTAGCAAGCTGTTTAATACGTAACCATTGTATTCATTTTAACCTTTTATAGAACCGACATTTAGGTAGGAACTTTCTTTAGCTTTAAGTAAATACGCAGTTTTCCATTGTCTTCCTGGAAAATAATTTCTGGAATCTAACAGCACAAAAATAATTTAGCACTGTAGCTAAATTATTTTCTGGTAGGCAGTTTTAAGTGTTGATTTTAATATGTTGCATCATATGTGATTATCAAGTAGAGCATACATACTAAGTTTTACAATATTTTATAATATTCAGTCTAGGTACAATTATATTGGCAGTGCACTCTGCTAAAAGTTGTACACAATGGTACCTTAGTAGTCCCCATACTAAGCTGACCTTGTGACGTGGGTGACTAGTTCATTTCTTATTATAGTAAAACAAACTGTATCCGTTCATTAAAGACAAAAAGACTTAAAGGCTTCAATCTTACTAATATTATTATTAACGCGAAAGTTTCTGAGTATGGATCGATGTTTGTTACTCTTTCACGCAAAAACTACTGAACTGATTTTGATGAAACTCTACAGTGATATAACTTATACATAGGAATATATCAGGCTATAAATTTCACGCGGGTTAAACCGCGGGCATAGCTGGTAAATGTATAATAATAATTACAATAAGCGGTAATCGTCGTCTTTGCACAAGAAAAGCGCTGAAATCTCATATAACGCCCTGTTACCACCCATGGGTTACCATTCCGAAGAACTAAAATGTCATGCCCCTTAGCCTGTAATTTCACTGCCTAATCTCACCCTATAACCCAAACACAGCATACAAAGAAAGCTGCTGCAAGAAGATGGGAGATGATAGGTCGAAAATGAAGTCAGGTCAATTAACACATCAAGACCACGGGAAAGGGGATTGTTAGTAATGTGTAATTGTTACTAATGTCCACATAGCAATGCACCATATCAGGTTGACCTCCACGCGGTTCCTCTTGGAAACCGTCGTGATAAATTCCTGGTACCAAAATTTGCCACGATGGGCTAACTGACCTAACCTCAAATTCATCTTATCCTTCTCCACTGGTGCCCAGCCAGCGTAAACCGTTAGCGCAGGTGGGTGCACCATTCCATTATCATACATAAACAACCCATCATGACCTATTTACTAAGCAATTTATTAACGATGATGGTTCCAGGGAGAAACGCGTGGAGGTCAACCTGACATAATTACATTGTTAGCGATGGGTTCGTTCCCATTACTATCTAGGATTATTTATTTGTTACTAGCTGTACCCAAGATTTCGCTCGAGTCCGAGTGTTAAAAATTCGATATTTCCATACAAACTTTCAGCTTCCTTATTTTTCGTTTTTCTTTACTTTCGCCTTTATAATATTAGTAAGGATATTTGAATCTTCAGAGTCCAATAATATCACGACAATCCTATTCTTTAGCATGGATATGTTTAAAGTAACAAAGAACGATGAACTATTAAATAGATATTGAAATATAAACAAAAGTTAGAGGTCAGCATTTTTATCCAATGTGTTCAGCAGCCTCCGATGGCCCCGACCACGGTCTTGTTAAACTTAGTTAAGCAGTTTTTGTAGTGGTCAGTTTTTTATTTTGTTTGTTATTGACTTAAATTAGAATCTTGTATTTTTTGCCGAACCATCGTCTGTAGATCACAATATTTAATAATCAATTGAAGTAAGTAAGTAGTGTACTCTAGTAGTTCTTATGAATAATTTTACTTTTTGTTTCAATAATAATAAGTGATTGCATTTGTGACAAAATATACGTTATATTACTATCGAATATAATAACGATAGGATCAATTAAAAAAAATTATATTTTTATAATAAAAAAAGAATTGTATTGAAAGAAAATATAATAGTTACACAATTATCCAAAAATACCACATACTATATGTAAAACTCTAGAAACTTCTGAATGGGGGTCAAGAAGGGTAGTAGGGTAGGTTAAGGTTTAAAAGGGTGACAACGCCAGGGGTGTGCCCTGGTGTTTTAGGCGTTCATAGGCTACGATAACTGTATACCTACCATCAGTGGGGCCGTATGCTTGTCACAAATCGGGGTGTAAATAGAGATTTCTCTTTTTGAAAGCAGTTTAAAAATGTCGATTTTAACTTAAATGATATTGGAATTTAATGTGTAAAATAAAATGCATGATTTAGATTTATACCTGTATATATTTGATACAGTATTTCGGGAGCCATCATCTTAATAAATGGCGCGCAGACAAAGCCGCGGCTGAAATCGAATCATACAGAATTACAGTCCAATAATAGTAGGTATCCAAGAACATCTGGGCGACATTTTTTATAGGCCCCCGCAGACACCAATTTGTACAAACAACCCCCCGTCTTATCCGATAAATTGTATTGAGTATGTGTTACATAGTTGTAATATAGATATTGTTTGTATCATGTATGATTCAGGATCTAAGGTTTACAATGTGTATATTATAACATAATATTGCATTAAAACAGTAACTCCCTATTTTTTTCTCAATGATGTTCGGGAATCTGACACCGTTAGGTCAATTTTGAAGTCTAACCGATTTCAATATTGAAAAAATTGTATCGAAACCAAGGCGAGAATAAATCCCGTAATTAAACTATTAAGTGCCTATCTAATTAATGCCACATTCTGCATTTAAGGTTAACCAATAAATGCATTCATATCATTACAAATTTAGTAAGCTATAATGATATGAGTTCATTTATACATACTATGTTATTTTCATTTCTTCATGTGGCATGGTACACCGCATCTGTGATAATCACAGAATAGACATACCGTGTATAGTATAGTAATAACGTGACAATGCACCTCCACCACCTTTGGCTAGGAGTTCTGCTTTTGGTAGTATGTCCTGCAAAACAAAAATGTAGCAGTATTGCTATCAGATTGGCTTCTCTACATGTATACTGTACATCTCTACAGTCACTTGCAGTTTTTTCCCTTAGATATTTTAAATTATACAACGGATTTTAATGTAGTTTTTAGCAATAGATAGAGTAATTTTTGAGGAAGGTTTATGTATAACACGTGTGTTATTGTGTAGAACAAACCGAGAAATTGAAAGATGCGTTCGTGCGAAGCCGGAATGGGTTGCTAGTAAAAATATGTTTTTTTAATCATCAAATTTTTATTCGATTAACAAATGATTACGTTTGATATCTTTGTATGATTGTCAACTGAGTGATTGACACCGAAAGTGGTCACTTCCATCAGGTGGGCTACTTTACCATGACTTACGATACTACATTTTTTCCTACAGGATCCGAAGATTCGAAATTTAGTGCTGATCGGCTCACAAGGTTCATTAGAAGAGAAGACTGTCACCGTATGCTATGGAGCTGACTTCGTCAACGTTACTTTCATAAATTTCTGCTGCACCAGGAAAGAAATTGCCCAAGTAAGTGTATCATGCATCTTGAACATGTTTGACGGCCTCAGTGGTCTAGGGGTGTAGCACACTTGGTAGTCGCGGGTTGGATTTTTGCTGGGTATAAACATTTGAAATGGGTTTGATTGTTTGTATTGGTCCGGGTATTTACTGTGAATATTATATTATAATAATAAGCGTGAACAATTCACACAGCGCAATATACAGCTTCGCAAGCTAAGTAGATCTTGTGTTATGGCCAGGGATGTTAAGGAGCTCCGTAACCGGAGCTCGGATCGGATATCCGATATAAAATCCGAAATAAAAGTTTCGGACAATATCGGATAGGGGCGGAGCCTAATTGAGACACGTTATGTAACCGTTTTATTAGCTATTTGTATTTTACTTTTGAAATTCCTTAAAACATTAATATCAGTAACCGAAATTATCCGAAACTAACGGATAATCTTTCCTATATCCGAAACCTATCCGTATCTATCCGAAATTTCATATCCATAACATCCCAGTACCCATAAGGTACTATTTTGTGTAATACATAAAAACACCAATGCGAACAATCATCCTTATGTTATCAATATATTATTTGATGCTATAGTCAAGTGGTTAAGAACTGTACGCATTATATAAACGGGATTTGCCGTTACTAGTGGTCGGCCCGTGGTCGAAATTCGACCACTAATTTAACATTCAGTAAGACTACAGATAAATTATATTAAAGACAAACAACATCAATCTATTCTCAATTTGACCACAGACTAACAATAAACAAAAGAGTATATATGCGTGTGTATGTCAAATGCGTGGTAGCGTGTATAGTATTTTTTATTGATTTAATACACATAAATATTATGTATTATTAAAAAAAATATTAGCATTCTGCTTAAGGATGCGAAATTTCATACTCCGTCCGCACAACTTTCGTAAAAAGAGATACAAAGTTTTTGCATCACGTATTAATATAATGATAACGTTATTTTTATGCTCTTAATATAATTGTACATTTCCCTTTATATAATGTATATCCGTCAGGCTTGTTTGCAATTAAACAAACAGTAGCTAAGAGCTATACAGGCCACCAGACAGTAAGCGGTCATCGTAGATTATTATAATGCCTGAAGAAATCTTTTCCCACGTCTTTTTATGTAGCAGTAACGACTTATGCACACCAGAGACAATTAACGGCGTACACTATCACTCATAATAAAACAGAATTGCATTCTTCCATAATTCCCACAGGTACTCTTAAGTATCTATACGACTGACCAAAACAAAAGATAAATGATACTTAAATAATTGATATGTATGTATATCTATATACTAAAATAATGTTATTATATTTCTGTATTTATCATATCTTAATATTCATTATTAAATTGCATCGCCTTATTATGTTTGATTAACGCTACAGTAGACTGGTAGAGAATGCCATCAGGTATTAAGTCCGCCGTGTATACAATTTTGTGTGCAGAACAATAAATAAATAAATGAATTCGCTAAAGATTGTCTAGTCCTTAAGTTTCTTTTTCGGAAATTTCACAAAATATGTACGAATAGTTAATTAAACGGTAGAAAGATATGTAGCATCTATACAATTAGTTACATTTCTTAATTTTATGTGTAAATAATCACTTCGTCTTTATAGAAGTATATATCTATACAAAAGTGTATATTTTGTGGACATTATGAAATCCAAAGGGCAAGCTTGTCGTCCCTTCCCGTAACCCTTCGTGATCTTTCACAGTCCCATCCCTTGTAATGCAAAAGTTATTGACTTGACGCACTATGGTTAACTTACTACCAAATCATGTGACTTTTAACAAATAGATGTATATCATAAAAATAGACAATAGTGTGTGTATATAATTATGTCAGTGAATACAATTTCAATTTGTTTAATCATTATATTTATTTACGTATTACGTATTTATTCACAACCCCGTTGTGGAATCACCATCCAGCAATGGTATTTCTGAACCGATACGATATTAAAACATAAAACAAAGAAAATAGCTTATTCCTTCTTAAAAGGCCGGCAACTAGCTTGCAATTCCTCTGGTGTTGCGGGTGCTCAAGGGCGGCGGTAATCACTTACCATCAGGTGAGCAGCTGGTTCGTTTGTCCCCTGTGCTGTAAAAAAACGTATCTTTTTTTGTGTTAAGGGAGACTAAAGACAAAAATATGAAAACCCCTAGATCCGTAAGATCTTCAGTGATCTTTTAAACGCTAATATGGAAGACAATTTTAAATAACAGTAAAGAAAATATGCTCTAGGTAGCAATACCGAAACTAGAAGGTTTCACAGTACACCCACGACTTTAAAGGGCTATGAAGGCCCAGTGACCTACGGGGTAAAAATAACACGTCACCGCTGTTTGGCCCTGCTGGCCTTTACCTGCACCGAACATTATGAAAGACGTTCTCGGCACTGATAAATAGACTATCGTAGCCTACACTGCTAATTATAGAGTTGGGCGAGCTGTAGTTTAATTTAATAATGTCAATTTTGTCTAAAAAGATTATGTATTGTGATTGTCTCTTGTGATTGGGGAATGTCTTGATTTCGAATCCGGCCGCCAGCAAAACAAAACTTTACCGTTTTTTTCTAACTGATTATTAGATGTAAAACACACCAAATTAAACAGAGAGGCAGCGGTAAACTCGCCCTCCTATACCTAGGGTATCAGATATAGCCATAAAGTATTGCATTCACCATGACGTGGACATTTGATCAAGCTTTTGGCTAATCCTTCGGGCTTAATTTATAATTATTTCTTGTGGTTGGATCTTATGGTGTAATATGAATTGTACAATATTGTAATTTGTTACATTTAGGTATAGTAATAATTAAGGACTAATATTACGTAGTTGATTATTACGTATCTTTAGAAAGGTTTCGTGTCTGTCTATTGAGTAGGACCTCAATATATCTTGTAAGGCGACTTTATAGTTTTTTTAGAATCAGAATCTTTGCAATTTAGAGTTGCAGATTTAGTTTCAAAATGAAGTACTAGAATAAATTATTTTCGAAGAGAGTATAGTTCACTGTAGCCTATTCCTACTATAATTAATCTGAGCCGTTTGTTTTTCCGCAACTAGAAACGTACAGTGCTATAATATGAGATGAGTTAGTCCATCATATGTCATACTTTACACAAAACGAAAGATAAACTGACATATTTCAAATCCGGGCAACGGGCCATGACGCCCAGTGCACTCGCGTAGGTAAGCCGGCTCAGAATATCATAGTGTCATTGATAAATTATCTTTGACCGTGTCTTTGCTGGTGTGACATAGAGTGACATCCATGCATAAACGAATGTGATATTACGATACGGCCGTCGCGCGGTTAGGTCAAGGCCGAAATGTCACGCATTGTTGTCCTATGCTCTTATTTATGAGCTTTTTGTGTGTTACTGTACATACGAGAATGCGTGTACTGGCGTGAATATGAATACCTCTGTGTATACAGTTGTCCCATATTTGTACAGTCAACTTCATAAATATTTTCGGTGACAGATGATGGATTTGGTCAATAACATGTGAGACTTAACTTAAATATTTTGTATGTTAGTGTTATCAAATGATTGGAAACAATGGATTGCCTTATTGAAAATTCAGTTGCGTATTGATAAGTTATTGGCAATTATTGATGTTTATAATAATGTTGTTATACTGATAACACTATCAGTATTACAATATTGTACAATGTGTTTGTTGAAGTGCACACAGAAAGTCGGATGTGTATCAAATACATTGATTTTCTGTTAATCTATGACTATATTGACTATCTTAGATCGATAGATATAGATATATCTACACTACACTTTATAAAATTTAATTTATTATATTTTTTTCAACTCACTACACACCAAAAGGTTTCGGTTCTCAGTTAAATATGAAATATTTGTTTTGTCATTTCATGAAATATTTTTTTAAAGAGAAATAAAGAATAAAGAAACATCTATGTTTTATAGTTATTTAAACATTTTAAAGCATATATACGCGGACTGCTTGGTAACCGCGTCCTGCTGCTGAATTTGGGAGAGAGCTAAGACCTCCAATATTAATGGGGCCCTAAAGTTGTTCACGAAGCACTTAGCGGGTACTTTGTTAAGTTGTCAGATTAAACTCCAAGTTTGTAAACAAATAGTCTCATAATATTTAACATATCCTGGCGTTTTGACGCCGCCTCAACAAATACTTAAGTGCCGGAAAAGGGAGAGCACTAAGTACTAGGAGGCATTGTTAGTAATCGTAACTAGTGGTTATTTTGCCAGTAATGGACCATTTCTGACCATCGTTGACCTTCACGCCGACCTCCTGGATATCATTATGGTTAATTACGGAAGAATTCGCCATGGTGGGTAGACTGACATGACTCCAGCATCCTTCTCTAGCGCTCGCGATAAATTAATTGTAATGGACATTATATAACCTGTTGAAGATATTAGAAATAGAAAAATCTTGATTCAAATAATTATAATATAGGCTCTTTTAAATAGTGTTACATATTTTTATTCTACCTCTCATTTGGAACCCAGATTCGTAACAAGAAAAATGCGTAAGAAACTTGCTTGTTGCTCTTTTAAATATTAAAACTATAACTTTGCATTAATATCTTTGCCATGTCCATATCTATCAGATAACGGAAATACGATGATATTAAGTACATCCTTAAACGTTAAACGGTTGAAACCACAATTAAATTATATATATGACAATACCCATAGTCCAAGGGTGGTGTTAATTTTACCACTCCCAAATTTATGGTTAATTTGGATTTTATTTCTATTCTATTATGGAATCAGCAGAGAATTGCAAATCGTGAAAAGTAGTCTGATATTTTTTGTAATATATAAAGGAAAATGAGAAAATTAATTAAGATTGCGCCGGAGCAACACAACATGATTTGGGGCTCAGCAGCTTCCAGCTGGCTATTATTTCGCCTTCAAAACACTGATATTCTGCCATATAATTAAATAGTTAGTCGTATCGTTGTAGGTACGCCTTATTTAATCCTAGCTACACAAGGTAGTGGGTGTGTATGACGATAGCTTCATTATAATACAGGACATCCTAGTTTAGAGATCAGACAATTGATTTACGTAACTTATATTATTTGACGGCCTCGGTAGTCTAGCGGTTTAGCGCCCCGCCTTATTTTCTGATGGTAATGGGTTCGATTCCTCTTAAAATACAAATATTTGCATTCATTTGTATGATTGTTTCTATTGGTCTGAGTGTTTCTTATGTGTTTTATGTATGTATTTACAAAAACATGTGTTTAAGTATTTATATCAGTTGTCTAGTTACCTATAATATAAGCTCTGCTTAGCATAGGACTAGATGGCGCTTTTTGAATAGTCAAGGGATAACATTATTATTGTAATGTAAAAAATTATCAAGTTGCACCACAAATATATTTTTCCAACTTATCAGCATGTGGCCAGTGTATATCATATTTAACTTTGTAAAAATTAATAATGGATAACAAATGAACTATTATTAAAATCTCGTTATTCTGCAACCTGTACCCACACTGCGTTTTTACGAATAAAGAAAAAAAGTAGTAGTTTAAAAATACAGCACAGCTACTTAGTATATATTTTTTATAATTCGATCTATTAGTAAATATGACTAAATAACAGACATGCAAATATCTTTCTGAACGCGGTATAGAATATTTTCTATTATACCTGCTGAAACTGTAGCAGTATGATGGTATATGTATAATTATGGGGATCTAATTGAAGATGATGTACACTTTGTACAAATTCGTCTGATATGGCTATTGCCTTCAACCATTCGGACTGATTGCATTCTGATCCCAGATCACCGGAGGTGGAATATTTTACAACCACAGTCCAAATACATGCCCGTTGGAATCCCGAATCGAACATTCGGAATTTAAATTTATTCAGTCGAAATTTGTTGAAGTGCAGGCCATGTATTTTACAATTTGTTATGTATATTTTACTTTGCTCACAATGTCTATCTGTAACTCGTCCAATCTGATTCATGAGTCATGACTATTTACAAAATATAACCAACCACCAATACACATACAGCAATAAGAGAAACAATCACTCCGGTCTGTTTGCATGTATCTATTGAAATGATATTGAAATAAAGTTTATTTTAACTTTCAATCTAGATGTGGACCGAGGAGCTATTCGAGCTGGCGCACAATCCGTATCAACTAAACAATCCCACCATCAAGTTCCTAGAAAAACTACACACGAAGATAATTCTCAAGGCTGACAAATCTGGGAAGATACTCGTCAAAAAGTATGTATATTATTGTTTTTTCTATAAGTATTTAACTGTCATATATCTACTCACGTATTCAGACACGAGATTTTAAGTATATTTAATATGTTAGGCATTTATATTTTTTTAATCATATAGTATTGATATGTTAGTTCCGGCAGATTCTTCAGTTGAGAAGCAAGGAAGTGAAATGGCACATGTTTCGGTATTTTTTCCATTAGTCTTTAAATAGAATACTAAAACTACGAGTAGCAATTTGGTCGCCGAACAATCAAACCTAATAAAATGACACCTAATTTGATAAAATATAACCATCGAAATAGGGATATGTTAAGTGCCTCATTTATCGTGACGTCGATAGATGACAATGCCTCTGACAACTCCATCTGATGTAACAGTCGTGAACTTATTATTATAATTAAATTACCGTTTAAACTGATTCACGAGACATTACAGTCCGGACAAGATTGAACAATTTTGTCAGTGTCAATTACTAAGGTCAAGTTACTCAGTTGAGACACGATGTCAACTCGAGTCGATTCTGATAGTGTGATCATAACATGATAATTATATCTGCTTGATTTGATCACGAGCTGAAGCCTTTACTGTTTTGATCCTTCGAGCCGGATAAAAATGTGGGAAATTGTCCCTACATTTGTAGACAATGATAATTGCTAATGCTTTTGATAATATCTACGAGGATGATAAAATAAAAGATACGTCCCGTTGTGAGTACTTGATATTACGAGTACACACTGATTGTATTATAATACTTAGTGAAATTATACATGCTGCGTAAGTAATTTATATATTTTGTATATGATTTTTATTGTATGGTGTTCCGTACACTAAGGATGCATTTATATGTACAAAAGCGTCTTCCTGACCGTCTGCGTTTTTATTTCGGTATTTTGTAGCGAAATATCTCAGGAAGTTCTCATAAAAAAAATCCCCAAAATAGATTAAATTTACTTTGAAGAAAACATTTTCTCTGACGCAATTTTTTTAAATATCTGTAGCAATTCACTTATACTACCCATTTTCATAGCGCTCCGTTGGGGGATACCTTAGAGTTTTTAGTGACTAGGAGTTTTCTAGGGCGGGAGGGTCTCCATGAGGGATTTTCTGTAAGTAATAAAATGGGTAAAACCCCAACGTGTAAGAATCACAAAAGTTTAAAAATAGTTTCAGTATTATTGATTATTGGATCGTTAGTTCTATTTTTGCAAATAGCACTTCGCGAGTTATAAATTAACCGTCTGCATTAATCAACTAGAAAACGGCCAAGAGCTTATAACATTTAGCGTTGATAAGATTCCGTGTATATGTTTTTTATATTTATATGGTTAAGAAAGATTAGTAACTACAAGTTAAAGAAAATTACACTGCGAGATAAAACATGAAATTTTGCTAGGGTTCATACAATTTTCATTTTATATCTGTACCCGCAATATAAAGAAATGAAGTGGTAGGTTCTAGTTTAGTTTATATTGGAATAGCCTAGATGCGTAGACTGCGTAGCCTAGATGTTCAATGCTTAGTGAGTTTCAAAGACTTTTTAAATGATGAAGGAAAACATGGTTCTTATCGGTAAAGGTTCCAGGTTCTTTGTTTCCTAATAGTAATATCTGCTTTCTCTTACTCTATAACATATATTAATTACTTTTTTACTAGGTTTTTATTACTATCTACACTGCAAAGCATTCTAGAATTTTCTTTTAGTATCTATATAAACTTCTTGCGTGCGACTAGCTTTTAAGACAATTAATAGCACATAATACATTTGATTCAACGATATCTTTTATAGTGCTTTTATTGGGTTCCACCCATTTGATATAAATAGCCGGTACTACCCTGACCTGTCTGCTGTCGGGGCAATATTTTTTAATTTAGACCTTTGTGTTTTATCAATTAACATTCTTAAAAGAAAGCATAGGTAATAAAAATTAATGTTGTTATTTTATTTTGCGCAAGAAGTAAGATAAGATAATAATATACTTACTATATAAAATATTAAGGCATTTAAAGTATATTCGAGTAATTTATCACAGATAATTATATTAGTTACTATATTATGTAAAGCTAACTGTCACGTGTGACACAAAATAGAATTAATTACCATATTTGTGTAAACGTGTCAGTAAATTATCACAAAAATCATTGTCGATTTCCCTCTGATGATGATGGTGTTCGCACTATTAGAGGTATATTGAACATCATTAGTGTTTGTCTGTTTGTACACTACCTGCTCATTGTCCATTCTATGAGTTTACGTGACTTTTAGAGTTCGCGCATGACATAATCGCATGAAGGCTACTTACTTTGTGATGTCTCAATAAATATTTACTTTGTTTGACATCTACATGTTTGCTTATAGTTTAACTATTATTACTCGCCTGCGTTCGTCGAGTTTATTTTAATATTTAAGTATGTTATAAATGTATAGCATTGCACAAAAAAAATATTTACTGAATTTAATGCAACACTATTTTGCAATTGATTGCAAACGAGGAGGTTTTTAATTACACTTTATTTTTGTGTGTGTAGAAACGTCTTTGCTAATTGTGAATCGACATATGAGCCTTTTAGCAATCTATAGAACTTAATGTTTTTGCTTTTATTTTTATCACTATTGAAGAAGCTGTTTTTTGGTAGAATTAAACTCTGCTTGTAGGGAGAGGTCTACTATAATCTATACGACTAATTTAATCTTATTTAGTTACTTAAACAGTTAATTGTGTGTTTCATAATTTAACTCTAATGAATTAGTGCTAGTTGGTAGTATAATTATTTAAAAAAGCAACATGCATGTTCCATGCACGATCTTCATATGATGAGACAGATTTCCGATTGAGCGGTAGTAAAAAAATTGTGACTAATAAAAAATGTTTAAATTTATTTGAATAAAAAATGTTGTATTCTATTCTATTGGAATCCAGATTGGAAATATCGTCGTAAAAATAGATACGTGAATAGCTTGGACATAATTTGAGGTCATTTCAATTCATTTATTTAATAGGTACAGTTGCATCACGTATAATAAGATTGCATTAAGTGGATAATAAGGGGTAATCAGAACTTCTCGGGTATCATCTGTACGATGATTAGAAGTATTGGTAGATACGTTCACTAAGTATGTAATTAACTTAGATAACTGATACCTATGCACGTTTATGTCTAACAGGTATCCGTTTGGATAACGAACTTTATTTAAATAATTCTAAATATTTAAACTAGTTATTTTTTTATCGTTATTGTGTGGAATTACAAGATCTTATCTGTAAATATAAAACAGAGTCGCTGTCTGTTTCTCTGTTTGCGCAATAGCGGATTTTGATACGGTTTCATTGTCATGTACATATTTTTTTACGAAAGAATTTTATGTATGTCTATACATAATATACATAAAATTATATATTTATATATTAATGTATATCGCTCAACAAAGAGCAACGTTTTAGCGGGGTGCTAGTAAAAAGTATTTGTAATACCCAACAATAATGAAAGGTACATAGTACAAAACTCAAACAATTTTAAAATTATAGTCGTAACATACGTAAGATTTGATACTTCTGAACATCATTTGAATATATGGTAGGTACTAGCTGATCCATATAATTTATTCTGCGTCACTTTTTCTCTGTTTTTACTTTTTTTTTTATTATAACTCCGCTTCTATTAGTTGTATCATAATGTAATGTAGCGAGGGGTTGTTAGTAATGTGCACTGATGACCTCTATAGTTAGCAAGGTATCAAGTTTTGTTGCCTTCACGCAAAAACCATTATAATATATTCCTAGTGGATTTGTCAAGATGGGCTAACTGACCTGACAGCATGTTTATGTTATCCTTCTCCTCTGATTCCCCGCTAGCGTAAACCATTAGCTCGGATAGTAGCACTACTCTATTACCGTCTATTAAAAACATGTAGCCTCGGTAAATGGACTATCTAACAAAAAAAAGAATTTTCAAAATTGGATCAGTATTACTAGAGGTTATTCCGAACATCTATACTCACAAACTTTATATTATTTCTTTATAAATATTTATACGTTGTTTTTTGACATTGTCCAGAGACACATTTGAAATCGCAAATACCATAGTCAATGTACATTTATGTTTATGTCACAGCATCGTCAGGTTATTTGCTCAAAACAAAGAAGACAAGAAACGCGTGGAGAAGGCTCTGAGCGAGTCAGGCCTGCCCACCGGCAAGAACGACACCATTAGTCATTCCAAATTCCAGTTTGAAGACTTTTTTGCCTTCTACAAAAGCCTCACACAGCGTACCGAAGTACAGAAGATATTTAACAGCCTGTGAGTTATCAGTTTTTTATTGTTATTTCTGTCGTTTCTACTACTGAACATGGAGTGTCACAAGGATCTATTCTGGGCCACTTTCATTCAGTTACGTACTACTTACTCTTTTACTTTATTTTTTCTGTTTTATAATCGATATTGCCTCATATAAGATTGTGGGAATCTAATATTAAATTGCTCGCATTTTACTCATAGCAACGTAGTATTTATTTGTATAGACTTACTTAGAAAGTGAAAATAGGTATACCTGGCTCACGTTTTGTTTTATATACTTGCTTCTAATAATTTGTTTTATATATTGGCTGTAATTTTTTTGCATACATTATACCTATATTATAACTGTTTTAGACAATACGATATCGTTTCATGGTCTCTAAGTATAAATCAGAAGTCTTTAAAATAATGAATCAATTTCAAGTTATTGTTTCAATTTTAGAACGGACGGTAAACCCCATCTCAGTGCTACTCAACTCGTGGATTTCCTTAATGAGGTGCAGCGTGACCCACGTCTAAATGAGATACTACATCCATACGCCGACTTACAGCGGGCAAAAGACCTTATCAAGGCATATGAACACAACAAATACCACCAACAGCGGTCACAACTCACATTTGATGGCTTTTTAAGGTGGGTTTCCAATATACATCAAAATACCGAAATTTTGTACAACTTCTTTGCGATATTTTACCGAAAAAGCAGTTGACTCATGTCGAATAGATTAAATATACTCGAAGGTGTGTTCCCATTTATAGCATTATCGATGGTCGAAACTGAAAAATATTATATGTATTTTAGTAACGTTAAAGTTCGAATCAATCTTATTCAACGTCCATTTAATTTCGATTCTATTGAAAACAAAAGTTATAATTTTGAATTTTATTGACAATGATGTATATTGCAGGTTTCTAATGTCAGAAGACAATCCAATAGTGCCATTGAGGAAGTTAGATCTCTGCGACGACATGGACCAGCCTTTAGCTCATTACTTCATCAACAGCTCTCACAACACGTATCTGACTGGACATCAGATCACAGGAAAATCAAGTGTGGAGATATACAGGCAGAGTCTTCTCGCTGGCTGTAGGTAAGATTAATACTTACATATTATATTTAACGTAATATAGATACAAATCAGATTTTCAAGGTATGTATGTAGTCTCTGAAGAGTATGGTTAAAAAAAAGTACACAATAAAATATGGAGATATAATTCGGTTAAACTTACAAAATAATCAAAATAATCAAATACTGAGACTTTTTTATCCTGTTTTTACTTCAGTAAACAGGATGAGAGAGAAAAAAGTTTTTTACCAAAAAGTCTCAGTCGTATTTATGTACTCAGGTTCTCTATGAGTATACAAAGTATGCTATACATTTAAAAAGAAATGGGCTAAGGTCGATGCCCTGTGGCACTCAAATGGAGATCGAAATTACGATGGCCGAAGCAGACATTTTCCTTTTTTTTCTCAAATTATAGTCGTATCCGTCATGAAGCAGCTACCCTTCTATCGCTTACGGCACCTGTAGCACCTGGTCATGTATATAGGCTTTCATCCCGAGCTAGAGAGCATGCATACGTTTGGAGTTTGGAGCATATAGTAAACTCCTCCTAGTTAAAAAAAAATTGGCTGCAATTTCGTCTAGTTAAGCTCCGGTAAAGGTCAGTTGGCTGACTCCAACTAATAAACTGACAAAACAATAGAATAGTTCGAAAACATTTTTTGTTATTAATAATACAGCACGATCGCAATCGACAGAGAATTACTTATATACTCTAGAATCTAAATGTTCGCACATCGAACTTAACTTAGTAAATATACGTGTGTATGTATGTACTTTTTTTTTAGTTTACAGAGTCTGTTTCTATGTAATATATTCGTAGATTACTAAACTAATATTTCGATGCCTCTTGATTCAATAACTACTAGAGTTTGAAGTTAATCTTTATCGTGCATCGCAAATACTACAATAGCGACAAAATACACAGTAGTTACTTGACCTGTACCTTTGTGTCTCTACTACAAAAAAGTAGGTACGTCAGTACTTTTTGCCTCTTGTATTTTTTCGCTATACATTACACTTGGTTGTAAGCGGTATATCAATCATATCATAAACCACTCCGTGCAAGAAATGAAGAACTTTATTTATTTATTTAATTTTATTTATTTATTTAAAATAGAAAACATGTGTACTATTTACTGAAGAAACAATGCCATTGACAGAAGTATAAAACTGTGTTACGAATATCGACGCCCTCCACCGTCGTAGTTATCGTAGAAATCGTTGAACGGCGTCTGTAGAACAAATGTAACGATATAGTAACAATATTACGTAGCAGTGAACTATATAATGTTAATAACAATATTGACGGCCTCGGTGGTCTAGCAGTTTAACACATTGTCTTACTTCCGAGGGTTACGGGTTCGATTTCTAGAACGGTAAAAAAAGTACAATCACGTATTCATGAGATTATATTAGTTTGGGTATTTTCTATGTATATAAGTATGTATTTATAAATAAAATATTTAATTATTTCTGTTAGTTGTTTAATGCCCATAGTAGAAGTTTTGTTTAGCTAGGGACTAGATGGCGCTCTGTGAATTGATCTAGGTTAGTATTATTTTATTATTACTATAATAAATAAAGAGGAATTTAATATTTTGTATTCTTCATACAAGCAGCGCGGTCACGTGACCATTTTAGTATACCTTTAAAAATTATTTTGCAGGCAGTATGGTCTGCCTGCAAAATAATTTTTGTTTGTTATCAAGATTTCCACATTGTTTAGTGATATTGCTTCAGTTTTATGTATACTATCACTGCCTTTAGTACTATTTATTTATTTACTATACTTTATATTAATCATAAACAATTCTAATTTAGTACAAATTGGTATTAGATAAAATAGCAAAAGATTATTAATCATTATACCCTTTTGCTGTTAATGTAAAGACGATATACAATGATTGACTGTGTTTGTAATTTAAAACATCGATGAAAGTTATTATACAACTGCCAAGAACATGTGGAAACAGAATACATCATTGTTTAATCGCGACATTTCGATTAACTTGTTAGTTACTTGTAAAAATATTATAATTTAAAAAATAAAACAAGAAATAATGTCACTTGTTTTAAAGTGTTTTTATAGGTGGGTGTGTAATTAATGGTACTCCTTCATTTAATTATAATATCCCTGTATGATTCACACAGCGCCATCTAATCCCAAGCTAAGTAAAGTTTGTGTTATGAGTACTAGACATCTGATATAAATACATAAATACTTTTGTTTTGTAAATACATACATAATATATGTATATTACGTTATATTAACAAAGGTATTATAAAACACTCAAGAAAAATATCAGAAAACACCCAGATCCTTTACAGAATTGTCCTGAGATTATTATTATTAAAACAATCAGACCATATCACGTGGCGCTCGTGATACCAATAATACATTGCTTGAGGAATGGCAAGACCATGAAGTACTAAGATGTCATGCGCCTTGTCCTGTATTTTCATTGTTTTATTTTTTACCCTTCAACCGAAACACAACTCGCAAAACTGTAACTTAGCGACTGATATAAGTGAGACTGAGGTACCCACGCAAACTTTTTACAAAGTGTATCTTATTTATTTGGTAACTTTTTCAATAGTGTAACAATTAAATGTCCATGAATATAACCTCGCAGACAACTTTTTACAAAGTTTATCTAAGTACATTTCGTAACTTCTTCAATAGTGTAAAAATTAAATGAGCATGACTGTACCCGCGCAAGTGAGTTTTTATAAAATCTATCTAAGTAAATTTCGTAACGTTTTTCAATAGTGTAACAATTAAATATGCTTGACTATACTCACGCAGACGACTTTTTACAAAGTCGATCTAAGTAAATTTCGTTATTTTTTCAATAGAGTAATAATCAAATGTTCGTGGGTATATCCCCACGTAAACGACTTTTTACAAACTCTATCTAAGTAAGTTTCGTAACTTTTTCAATAGTGTAACAATTAAATATGCTTGACTATACTCACGCAGACGACTTTTTACAAAGTTGATCTAATTAAATTTCGTTATTTTTTCAATAGAGTAATAATCAAATGTTCGTGGGTATACCCCCACGCAAACGACTTTTTACAAACTCTATCTAAGTAAGTTTCGTAACTTTTTCAATAGTGTAACAATTAAATGTGCATGACTAAGTATCAGAGGTCAAAGATAACCTCTCTGATAGCCTAACTTGACGGGTCACGCGACTGTTCTCGCCGAACGAACTTACAGTAGAAATTACTAATATACCTATTACCTCATAAATCAATATATAACTGTAACTAGGGAAAGTACAGTCAGCAGCATTAATATGTAAATATTTAGTACACTGTCATTGTGGGTTTATTCACAGTTCCACTAAATTTTAATTAAAATAATTGAGAGTTACTGCAATCATATACAAAATTATTCTCTTGAAGGTTTTAAGAGAATAGTTTTGTTTTTTAAGAATAGTTTTTTGGCAGGACAATTCACACAACGCCCTCTAGTCCTAAGCTAAGCTTAGCTTGTGTTGTGGGTGCTAAACTACAGAGATTTTACAGACACATATTTTATAAATATGCTCAGAATATACATATGAAACACTCAGACCGATATATACACTCATACTCATGAATACAAATGTTTGTACCTTATAAGGAATCGACCCGGAACCATTGGAAGTAAGACGGTGTGCGAAACCGCTAAACCATCGAGTCTGTAAAAATATATCTTGGTGAATTGGTAAAATAGTGTTTTTATCTTTTCTAATAATTATAATCCCGGCCATGTGGTTATCGACTAGTCGCTCCAATTTATACAAATGAGTTGCGATCCCATCAATGTGATTAGATAACAGAATCGTTGAGTGCGTTTATCATGTTGCGAACGCTAACGACTTCATTAGTGGTCACAATTTCAAATATGAAAAATTCTCCATATGTCTTGATCGGATTTTAATACATCGTCTAATTAATTATTTATCGCTTATATTGTCAATTAACGACCTTAATTGCGTCTCAAAGGATGTAAATAACTGTAAATATTTGGGTATTGTTTGTAATGTTTAGGAATTTTCCGATATTTAATTAATTTACAGTTGCAATGGAAAAATTTTGTATTGGAAGGAGAAACATGAATAATATGCTCTCTTTGTTCTGATTACCTCTATTTGTTTTGTGTTTAATGCAGTAACATTGTCTATTTTTTTTATGGATGATAATGGAATGGTGCACCCGCCTGCGCTTAACGGACGGTTTACGCTGGCGGGGCACCAGTGGAGGATGATAGATGAAAATGAGGTCAGGTCAGTTAGCCCATCGTGACAAATTCACCAGGAAGTTATCACGATGGTTTCCAGGGGGAACCGCGTGGAGGTTAACCTGATATGGTATATTGCTAGTAATAGGGTCATGAGTCCACATTACTAACAATTCCCTTCCCTCCTGCATTGTCTTTTGATAAATACCCTTGTTGGAAACTATTTTATGTAAGTTATATTGTCTATGGTTTTTATAGTAATTGTTTAGTTTATATTAGGGGTTAAAATTTGAAATTTCCGATTTGTTCGGAAATCTGGAATCTCGTTTCTTTCTTAGATGTAACATATTCATTTAATCATTGCTGTCATCTAATTTAGGAGATTTATTTGTGCCTTTACAATATCACACCATGAAGGTTTTATGTCAATTCAAAGTATCTATTACTATAGAACCGCAAGTTCATACTTTAGCCTATTATATGGTATTGTCAGTAAATTATTTTCGACTAAACCGGTGCCTTTTTTACTCGTCTCGTCATTGATCAACTTGGTTTACTACCCTTTTAATATGTTTTTAATGAATATCTACACTACATACAGTTGTGAATATCTACAGTACGTCATGTATTAACATATAATAACATTTAAGATGTAATTTATTGGGTACCTACTCAGTAGTGCAGTATTTACCTAAGTAAGGTTGTTGTATATATAGGTATATATTGTATTAAAAGTTAATTACAAGCATTAAAATGTATATAGAATAGAGTAAAACAATTAATAATTAAGAACACAAAAAAACCAGTATGTCTACAGAAGTCTTTTGTAGTCTTTTTACTTTCCCGCGCAAAATATAATGCGCCACAGATACACAATATTGCACGGCGCGCCACCGCAGTAGGATGACGAGCGCGTCATAGCTGTATGCGATATTAATACTAAGTATTAACACTACTATATAATAACAATTATAACATTAACTATTTTTAAGTTTAAAGAAGATCCCTCTTTTTCCGTCAGGTTAAAAACAATTTCATTAGTGATTAAAAATGGATATGTTACATCTTTTAATACTTTTTCATACTCATTACCATTCTAAAATTAGAACATTATTTGATTATAAAAACTGAACTATGGAACAAATTTTAATAAATTTTATTATGGGATTAATCTGTATTATTTTAAAATAAATACAGGCATTTTACATATCACTTGACGTCTATGAATGACTTTTACACTAAAACACATAAAAAATAGTCGAGTTTTTTTTAAGCCGGTTAAAATCGCGGTAACATATTAATAATGTACGTCTAATGTCCCACAGATGTGTGGAGTTGGACTTCTGGAATGGACGCACCGAAGAGCCTGTCATAGTCCACGGGTACACTTTTGTGCCTGAGATCAGCGCTAAAGAGGTGTTGGAGGCGATCGCTGAAAGCGCTTTTAAGACATCGGACTATCCAGTCATATTGAGCTTCGAAAATCATTGCAACCCGCGCCAGCAAGCGAAGATAGCGAACTATTGTAGGGAGATTTTTGGAGAGATGCTGCTGGATAAACCTTTGGAGACGCATCAACTTGAACCAGGTGAACAGACATTAATTCAATAATTTTGATTTAAAGATGTAATTTTTTTGGAGGAGGCCTTTGTTCAGCAGTGGACGTCTTTCGAGCTAAAATGATGATGATGGTAAAAGATGTTCGCAGGCGCTAGTATGTAATATTATTTTTCATTAGTAGAAATTTGGGTAGTTGTTATTCTATTTTATCTCAGTAGTATTATACAAGATATGTACTGTGTAATGAAATGTCTATTGCATAAGATAGTAACTCTTATCTTTTCATTGATAAGAACATGAATGAGATATATTTAAGAAATTTTTAATTACCGAAAATGTTGATTACTATAAAATAGAGATACATAATATGATATAAACAAGGAATGAGATTGTAAGTAACGGCCTCGTTGGTCTAGCGGTATGGCACACCGCCTTACTTCCGATGTTCGCAGGTTCGATTGCTCCCACGATACAAACATTTGTATTCCTGAATATGATTGTTTGTATCGATCTGGGTGTTGTCTATGTACAATATATAATATATCTAAGTATTTATATCAGTTGTCTAGTATCCATAACACAAGCTCTGCTTACCATGGTGCTAGATGGCGCTGAGTATTAACACAATTATTGTCAGCCTTATTTATAAATTTAAAAAAAACATTCAGTGTGGAGCACACTGCGACTGTCGAACAGTTAACATTAGCCTTCCAAGCTATATCCAAGCTATATTCATTACCTAATCATGCGTTGCGTCGTTCAGAGGCGAACACGTGTAGTAATATGCACGTGTAGATTCAATAACGGTCGGAATTTGATCACCAATAGAGAATGTCGTAACGCTTCCAGTAGCGATGGTCAGGTTTTCGCTCTGAATATTTGTGATTTCACACATGCCAGTGGTAGCGGAAATAAACAAAATGATATGAACCCAATAGTGGTTTCGCCAACGTGGTTTTGCCACATAAATTAATATTCCAAGAAAACATAGGGGTAGATAGTATATGGGTTAAAATTAGAATTTGTATATATTTTTTTAAATCTGCTAAACCATAGTAAAAGGGAAAAATGGCAAAAATAAATAAAAAATAATATTTAGGGGTGGGTTATTATTGAGGGGTATGAAAAATAGCTGTTGGCCGATTCTCAGACTTACCCGCTATGCACACTACATTTTATATATTAGATTGGACATCCGTTAAATAATACCTAATTCGATAAAATATATGCTAGTAATATGAACATGAAAGTTCCTAATGACATTTGGGGTGAAGATAGATTGTAGCACAAGGAAAATTAGACGAATTTGAAAAAAAAATATTTATTTATTTATATAACTTTAATGCACATAATTTCAAAGTACATTGGCGAACACCATGCGGCGATATCTACCAGTCAACTATGGGTGGTGCAAGATAAATCATAGTTCCTTTAAAAATGGCATTGTGTATGTCAAGAGTAGCCTGAACTTGAATCATTCGGAATGTTAAAAGCGTCTTAATTATAGACTTAATTCATGCCACCATACGTATCGTATTTGTTTTCGCGTCGTTAGTGAATGCCCCGGCATATTGAAGGTCTTATACCTGTTGTTTATATTGGCCTACTACCAAGCATCTGCCGGGTTATGACGTGTAAACAGGCTGAGACAGTTCGCTTTCAATACACATAATCGACTGCTGATGTGTTCAAACACTGTTTATTTATTGTGTCTGAACTGTAACTTTGGGCGTTCAGTTGCGACACGATATTTTTATATTAATTTTTATTTACCCCTAGTTGTTTGTAAGTCAGAAAGTAAAATATATTAAAGAGCTTGAAGTTTAATTTATATTCATTTATGTTTTTAGTAATAAGTATTAGTAGTATAAGTACAGGAACGAACAGAATATCAGCGCTCCAGATACTCGCTTTTATGACAATAGTGAGTTTTTAAAAGTTATTTTTTAATAAATACTAGGATGGCGGCAAACAAGCATACGGCACATGTGATTATAAACGGTTATCGTAGCCTATAGACGCCTGAAACACAAGGAGTATCACGTTGCCGACCCTTAACAAACCTTTATATACCCTTCTTGAAAAACCCCATTCTGTAGTCTCTTATATTAAGGGTATGCAAATGTTAGTTATTAAGTGTTTGTGTAAACAATATTGTTTATTCAGATTGAGGTCAATATCGTATTCTAGATCTCAATTTAATCGAAGTTCAGATATTTTAGGCGTTACTCTAAAGTTTGTAAGATTTTTTTATTTATATCGCCGTGGTAACCGGGTTATGCGATGGTAGAGCTATTTTATCAGTCCACCATATGTGTTGGAATAAGCCAATGGGAATTTACGGTTTTAAATTACAAAGAGATATAAATTGATCTGCGTCTAGTGTAAACTGGCTAACTAAACAGTTATACGCGTGTTGCAATCAACCTTTTATTCTTTACTAGCTGTTCCCGCGACTTCGTCGGCCTGGAATTTAACTTTTATTTTCTAAAATAAAAGTAGCCTAAGTTACTCCTTACTACATCAGCTACCTGCCAAAAAAAATCCCGTCAAAATCGGTCTAGCCATTTAAGAGATTAGCCGGAACAAACAAATCGACAGACAGACAGTCAAAAATTGTAAAAAATGATATTTTGATATAATGATCTATAACACTATACACATAAATAAAATTGGAGTGTCTGTTTGTAATATTGATATAACGTTTCTTATATCATATTAATATAAATATGATACATATACCTATCGTATTTATATTCATGTGTATAGTGTTATAGATGTTGATGTTGTCTGTTTGATAGTTGTTTACCTTTTCGACACTAAAAGGCTGTAGGCATTTCAATGGAATTTGAAATGAAGGTAGATTGTACCACGTGTATGGAGATAGGCTATCTATTCCCTCAAAATATTCACCGATGTCGCGATTAACGACTTGTTTTAAATAAGTTTGACTATAATTGTGGCATGGGCATATTCTTCGAGACCTAACATCTACCTTAAAATATCTACACTTAAAATCCAGAAACGGTTGAGTCCTTATTATTTGATGTAAAATATATGACGATCTAAGTGATCGTAATTTTTTTATTAGATAAACACTATCCAATCTTTTATGTAAGTGAAACAGAAAATAAACTGACGCCCCAGCTAACGGTAGATGGTAACCATTCTCAGTATAGAAAGAAAGCACTACATAAACCACGACGTGATGAACATTACCATCAGTTTTGTCATCATCACTGCTGCTGTTTTCCATTCCGTATTGGAAATTTTCATTCAGAAGTATCTTTATCGTGTCATTATAAAATCAATTGGTAAATAACTGAAATAATAAACGGTAATAAGTATTTCTAAAATATTATTTTCATATATGTATTTTTTTAAACGGCTAAATTCTTTAAAAAAACCGTCGAACATTGTTTAGTAAATATGCCATTAAAAGAAATCTAAGTCAATATTGTTTTCCAATAATATTTACGGTACTGTCAGATTTTGTACCCATTTTTACCGTAGCCAAACCTGTACTTCACATATAAACGTATTTTTAATTTAATTTAATTAAGATTCGTCCTACTGTTGTGTCGTGAAAAGAAACACAACAGACAGACGCTCATTCCTGTTTAAAATATTAGTATGGATTTAAATTAATGCATTTTTAAATAAAGTACTCTTGCATTTATATAAATATTTGACCTTTCACGTGATCAATCTTCATTAAGTAAGTCGTGCATTCGGTCGACTATTTCAGACTTTTAAATATGGAACTTACTAGATTAAAGTATTGATTTTCTTGTGCTACTAAAATGGTCGGCCGCTCGTCTAAATAAGGTTCTTATATGTTTAAAACGTTTATTACAAGAGTACTAGTTGTGCCCACGGTTTCGCCCGCGTGAAATTTATAGTCTATGTGTTATTCTGAAGCTATATTACTGTAAAGTTTCATCAAAACCGTTCAATAGTTTTTGCGCGAAAGATTAACAAACATCTATCAATACTTACAAACTTTATAATATCAGTTAGATATTAGTGAGATTTGCGGCAGCAATCTCTCAAATTTTCAACTAGATTGAATGTTTATATTTTTTGGATGAGTGGTTTAATGATTATGATGAACTTTTTACATGGTTGTTTATAATTGTACACAAAAATATCGGGAGCTCATGAATATGCTATGATAAATATCCCGTTTATATAATGTGTATTTTATAGTAAACTCATTACAACACAACAATACACATACCACATACAAAAATATGAACACTGACACATTTATATTATAACGCTTGTAGTATAACTTTATGTAAGCTGTTGTGTACGTATAATACACAATATATATTAAATAGACAATTGTAGATAAATTGACACTTAAAAGGTTATGTCAGAGACACTACCTATTATTAATCTATTTATTTGTTTCGGATATTTATATCTTTATAAACTACGTTAGTAAAATCATAATATATAACAATTACGTGTCACGTTGTTTGTCCGCGATGAACTCCTAAACTACTGAACCGATTGCAAATTTGATTTGCACATTGTGTGCAATTTTATCCAACTTGAAAGATAGGATAGCTTACATCTCAATTTATAGTCGCAATATTATTTAACCTTAGTCCCAGTAACGCGTGGCCGGAGCTGCTAGTATGAATATAAGCTCTATTCATATATGTACACCACCACACTGGATGCAGTGCCTCACGTGACCTCCACGCGGTTCCCCCCGGAAACCATCGTGATACATTCTTGGCGAATTTGTCCCGATGGGCTAACTGGCCTGACCTTATGTTCGTCTTATCATCCTCCACTGGTGCCCTGCCAGCGTAAACCGTTAGCGCAGGCGGGTGCACCATACCATAATCATCAGGAAAAAAAAAAGTGCCTCACGTGTGTACAATCCGACATACTGTGATGGTTAGGCTATATGAATTCTACACTGCATTTCTACCAATTATATTATGCACTTCCGGAAGCGCCATAAGAATATATAAAAATATCTACTATATTGTAATATATGTGTGGTAAACAATGTATTGTACACTAGTCGCACAGCATTCCACTATATAATTTTATACAATGAAGGTTTTAATTTAATGTAATGTTCAACAAATTGCACTTGCTAACACTAAATTATATATCTTTATTCATAGTTTGTAATCTTCTAAAGTGATTTGTTTGAATCTTATGAGAACTAAATGTCTAAAACCGTAATATAACTTGCAACTTTACACGGGTGTTCAGTCTATATGACGAAGGTTGACCTATGTTATATGAAAGTATTATTATACTTTTTAATATACAATCGATTTGTTTACATAAAAATTTTAAATTAGTATAATTTAAGAAGTGAAGATATATGTATATATAGTAGATATAGAACCTTAGTTAAGTCCATTTTGTAACTGTTTTTTGCACAACAAACTTATTATATTATACACATAAACGTTCTTGAAGAATTTCTCTAAAAGATAGTTAAAACTTATCAAAATCCGTCTTGTATTAATACGAACTAAGCAGATAAAAACACAAACGAAAACAGTGAATTTGCTTTATACTAAAATATTACACATTTCTAATCCAAGATAATATCATCTGGGATGTTATATTATGAAGTATATTGTACTAATTTTACGAAACAATAATTCTGCAAAGTCGTGCATGCAAGAAACGCTATCGACACTTTATTCACCGGAAATTTTACACATAAACTATAATAATAATAAGAACTCTATATTCCGCTCAGATAAATATTTCGAAATTGAAAACTTTACATAAATGTGCTAAACAAAAAGCAGCCTTATCGTTAAAAGCAATCTCTGTTTCATCAAAAACTATGTCATGTCGCCGGCTATTATTATATAATTGAATATAGGAAGTAAAACGTTCTAAAATAAACTATTTGGATATGGAAATAGATAATGCAAGTGCAATGTCGAGTTAACTGTCACCGGTCAGGGGTCAGTTAATATAAAGTCTTTTTTTATTTTGCTTTTAAAAGAATTGTTATTTCATATTGTATACTGTAACCTATTTACATATTCATAGTCGGGTTAAATACACTCTTAGAAGTCAAGTACGACTAGACCGATTTGATCTTTGATTTGTTATCGCTCCGTATATCGAAAAGCTTTTAAAACACCAGAAAAACTACTGATTAAAATAGTAAGAAAATTAATTACAAAATGTGTCATAAATACTGGAATGGGTAGGTGATGTGATGAAGGAACACGAGTGGCCGCCATATCTTTCAAATAAAATGGCGGTTGAAACAGCGGGTCGCATTCAGTTTATAATAAAAATCGTGTTTAATCTTCTTTTCTAGGAGGAGAGCTGCCACCGCCATCCTTGTTGCGGCACAAGATAATAATAAAGAATAAGAAGAAGCATCACCACCATCATAAGAAGGAAGAGTCGATAGCGTCTGAGGAATCAGAGTCGCGCCCTGAGCAACCAGTCGTGCAGGGCAACGGGGAAATAACACATTCCACGGTTAGTTCAGGACGTGTTGTTTTCTGTATAGTGTGCAGATTAATAAGTGATAAAAAAACGAACATAAATGTAATTAAAAAACACAATTAGTTTGTATCTGCAATCACATAAAAATACATGAAACACATAAACAGTAAGGTTTAATAAATGCTTTTATACGAAAGTATTCGTCTATTTATATGATTGTTACATTTTCTCTTACGCATTTTTTATATATTTTAATATACACATAAGATTGGACGTCGGAGAAAAATAAAGTAACCGTTTGTCGCAGAAATAACAGTCGAAGGGAGTCGTGAAATAGGGAATGAACGTATAAGTTACGGGTTAATTAGATGAATACTATTTTTATATCAATAAAAAAATAGTAACAGTTCGTAATAACGAGGCTTCGGTCGCAGCTGGTGCGGCAGGGGTCGAAGGAGTCGACGTCGTCGGAGTCGGAGAGCTCGTCGGGCGAGGAGGAGGCGGCGGGGCCCGCGGGGGGTGCGGGCGGTGCGGCGGGCGCGGCGGGCGCGGGCGGGGGCGCGGCGGCGGCCGACGACGCGCGGGAGACGCACGCCGCCGCCGAGATCTCCGCGCTCGTCAACTACGTGCAGCCCGTGCACTTCAGCTCCTTCGAGAGCGCCGAGAGTCAGTATACCGCCCATACGTTTCCACACTCGCACACACACATGCTACAATGCTCATAAATTATAAGTATCATTCGTTTTATTTTATATACATTGTCTTTCTCTAAATGTTCTTCAGTAGTAATATTAAATTTTTTTTATTTTTTTATTTAAATGGTATACAATGCTCTGGAGATGAGAGACCACAGTTTTTAGAAACATTAACATGTTATTGGTATAACTTTGTTTTTGGTTTAAATAAATTCTTTAATTCTTCTTCTTCTTCACTTACATTGACGGCCTCAGTGGTCTAGCTGGGTTCCTCTAATGCATGCATGCGCGCATGAGTGATACCACGGGTGTTAATTCAACGTGATGTCCTTAGTGGTGTTCATATATGTAGATTACGCTTACGATCAGGTGGACCGTCAGCATGTTTAAAATTTTAAACAAGTATTTTTTAATTATTGAATCAAACGCCTCGTTGGATGTAAATACATCTAGCGAAACGTGATCATGTCAAGTATTGCATGCATCACAATATGTTGATATTGTGATGCACGCAACAGTTGACAATGCTTCTGATTACCCCATATGGGATGACAGTCTAGTGACTGATATGTTATAATTTACATTATTAATATTATAGAAAAGAACCGTTTCTACGAGATGTCATCGTTCGATGAGAAGCAAGCCACCACTTTACTGAAGGAGAGACCAATAGAGTTCGTGAACTACAACAAACATCAGTTGTCGCGCGTTTACCCGGCGGGGACACGATTCGATTCTTCCAACTTTATGCCACAGGTGATGAGATTTTGTTATGGAATTACTATATAATATACTCATGTTGGTATCCAGAGAGCATCTTAGGTAATTTGCCATTAGAAAAAGCTCAGGGGTTATGTTTATATTCAAATGTCATACTATTTCAAAGTCATACAACAGATTTTACCATAGTATTGATAATTAAAATGTAGTACAAATAAATGAATAAATTTGGTAACAAGACAGAATTTTTGTTAAGCCCACTCGACCAATCGATCTTTAGTTTTTATTATTATATTATCCGTATATACACGGGTTATATACGGGTTTCAGGGTTTAGAAAAAAATGCAAGTAAGTTTTGCATAGAATGAAAGTGAAAGAGAAAATTAAAACATACAAGTCATTGTTATACTGGACTTTTACGTTGATCATATTGTATTTATGTAGCAGGCCAATCGTAGGTCTTCCATTGTTGTATTAGAAATTTACATTATTCATATTGTACTTCATTTTCAAGGTGTTCTGGAACGCTGGGTGCCAGTTGGTCGCGCTCAACTTCCAGACGTTAGACCTGGCGATGCAGCTCAACCTGGGCACTTTTGAATATAATCGGCGCTGCGGATACTTACTGAAGCCGGAATTCATGCGACGGAAGGTACTACTTTCGTTACTTTCGTTATCTATATAATAATAATAACCAAACATAAATCACGCAGCGCCATCTAGTCCGAGATTAACCGGAGCTGAGTGTTATAGGTACTGAGCAATAAACAACCATACTCATATTTGCAACTTGCGAGGATAATCAATCATTAAAGTGCTAGATAAAGCTAAAGAGGATCAATAGTAAAGTGCTTAGTGCTAAATGGATAGACCACAGTGGCTGTCGAAAATGTAGATACCGATTTACTGGTAACATTAAGTCTTTTAAGTTTTGTACCAGATGTAGAGTCTTTTTAGAATTATTAAATTATAGTATAATATTATATATAAATATATCTGAGATGATCATATAATTTTATACTATATGAAAAAAAATTAAAAATTCTGGCAATGTCTGCGTAAAATATAGATTGAATTGTTTTTATTTGTGTAAGCAAGCATGCTTTTGGGTATTTATTACCATAGTGCATATGTTCAATAGTTTATCAGTTTAAACTCATGTTCGTCTGGCGACGCATTTTCGTCTAGTTATTGACACATGTGTCTACACTATTTCTGTATGTGAAATATGACCAATATTATGCGTCTTTGCGAACGCGAACTTTGCTACTTCTCTCCAACTCATCATTCTGCAATATCATATAATGTTGTAACCCCTCCCCCCTCCCCTCCTCCCCCACACATTCCTTAACGTGACGTAGTGTTTGGATACCAAAAACTACATGTTTGTGCTTTGTGTCAGGACCGGCGGCTGGATCCGTTCGCCGAGAGCACTGTGGACGGCATCATCGCGGGCTCGCTGTCGGTGACGGTGCTGTCGGGGCAGCTGCTGACGGACAAGCGCTGCGGGACCTACGTGGAGGTGGACATGTTCGGGCTGCCAGCAGACACCGTCCGCAAGAAGTTCCGCACCAGGGTCGCGCCCAACAACGGCATCAACCCCGTCTACGGGGAGGAGCCGTTTGTCTTCAAAAAGGTCAGTCGCTTGATCCAGTTAACACTAACCTCATAACGAATTGGGGAATTGATTGGAAATGGTAATAGCAAACAAATAGAAACAGCAACCATATCAAAACGGTAATTACTGTATATAGCAATAAACGTGCATAGCAATAATTGTTTATTTAATTTTAGACATAGACACCTATATAAGTGTACAATGCAGAAACAGAGCTTACAAAGCGAACTGCTCGTCGGTCGGAATGGTTGAGACTCACTGACATCTCAAAATCGATTGCAATCTTCATAATGCCTCATATCTTGCTAAAGTCTTGAACACTATTTACTATTAGAACTGGAATACTATGCGTATTCCAGTTCAAACAGTAAATAGTGTTTTTTATTAACAGCAAGCAGGCGGCAGTAATAGACGACAGTGAGGTACACCGGCATAGCGAGTAACAGTAATGAGTTATGTGTCGGTCAGGTGGTGCTGCCGAAGCTGGCGATGCTGCGTATCGCGGCGCACGAAGAGGGCGGGCGGCTGGTGGGGCAGCGCGTGGTGCCGGTGGGCGCGCTGTGTCCCGGCTACAGGCATCTCAACCTGCGCACAGACCTCGGCCTGCCGCTGCCCGCCTCGCTGCTACTACTCGTCGTTGTCAAGGTACAGCGCACTTGATGAGTATGACATCGACATCATAAGCACGCATTATTTTAGATTTAGTTGCTCACAACATACATAATTATCGACGTCGTCATTACAACCTTCATCACCATTATCATCATCATCTACGTCGATGTCATAATCACCTAAATTTTCATCGACATCGTCATCACAACCATCATCATCATTGTCATCTTCGTCATCATCATTACCCTCATCCACCACAAAAGTTACTGCTAATATTAATTAGAATGATAAGCTGACGACCTATCTGGCGGTAAATAGAAACTGACGCATACATACATTGTTATCACATCATAACATAAGGACGGTGACATTGTTACACACATTACGTCATCATATCATGGCCGGTATACCCCTCACGCGTTGTCATTCTGAAGAAATGAGATGTCAAGCCTCACTATCCTGTAATTTCGCTGCCATATCTCACAATTGACACGCAACATCTTTTCTTTGCCATCATTATATTGCATGCAACATAATCTACTTTCCTAAAAGCAATTAATATAAATTCGTTTATTGACAGGACTACGTGCCAGATCGGCTTTCTGAGTTGGCGGAAGCGCTGGCAAATCCCATCAAGTATCAGAGCGAGCTGGACAAGCGAGAGCATCAACTGGCGGTCCTTACAGAGGATACGGATGTACCACCGCCCACTGCTATCACCGCTACTGTCACTGCCACCACCGATGCACGCCCCACAGGCACCATGCCCGTAAGTTTTTTTTAATTATGGATACGAAAACAGAGAGGACAAGTCAAAGAAAAAATAAAGCTTCTGAAAATGTAGGTTGGTATGTAAATTTGAATTATAAAGTGTTTGTAAATATGTAGATAGATCCACTTAATAAATATTTTTAAATTAAATAAAAAGTATTCCGAACATAACTTATAAGGTTCTACTTATGTAAATAAGGGTGTTTCATCAATACTGTTTAAAATTTGAATGCATCATGGTTTACTACTTCGACTTACACCTAAAAGGACTAAAATTCAATTCTACTACCTCCTATTTCTAACTACTACTAAACTAACAGACTCTAAAAAAATTATGGCGATTATATCTTGTATCGCTCTTACGAATTACTAGGTTCGCCTACTTTGACGTTGCACTCAAAAATGTAAAGCGAAATATGGGCACGTCAAATTTTACGTTCACTATTTGAGACGAGAGATACTCGTCTCAAATAGACAATTTTTGTTGCATTGCACAACGCATAATTGAAATGTACATTTTTTTTTTATTTCCACCTAGATCAGACACGAGAGCACGTCTGACGGTAGCCCAAGCAAGCTGACGGTAGCTGTTGTGGAGACGAAAAAACTAATAGAGAGCGAATCGTCGACGGCCATGCCGTCACCGCCGCCAGTCAACGACAAGGAGGGTAAACTACCTTCTTCTTTCCTCTTTTTTTATTCTAATCAGTCGTATTTTTATGAACAGCCGGCATCAGTTTCATCAAGTTTCTTGCTCATTCTTGTGATGAGTCTGCGTTCCGAATGAGCTGTAGAATAAAAAATATTGACTATTCAAAAGTGCTTATAGTAAGTTTATTTGAATAAAGATTATTTATATTCTATTCTATTCTATTCTATTCTATTCTATTCTATTCATCATCAATCAAATCAAATAAAAAGTCATTTATTCATGTAGGACATTTTAGCCGCTTTGATCGTCAAATTTTTGGTATTAAATTTATTTTTCAATTTGTGGTACAGATTCGTTTGAGAAAAATTGGCAAGAAACTCAACAGATTTTTTTTAAAGCCAGTTTATTTACTTTATACACTTATTTACATGTCAATGTCGAAGATTTTATGAAAATTCCGTGCATGAACAACATGCCATGCACGTTTGTCATTTAAGTAATCACTATACTGTGATATACTGTGAGTAATAGACTATACTCAATAAATATGATGTTGTCTGGTATATTTGTCTGTAGGTCATTTGACCGTAGTAATTGACGAAAAGATATGCATCTCCAATATATTACATATAACATATATATTTCTAAGGATATAGTATATTCAGAATGTATAGATATAGTTTGCAATAGACATAAAAGTTATGTATCTATCGTCGAATATGTCTGCAGATCAGTCGGATAACAAGTCAAACGGCGGATCGGACGACACAATGTCTGAAAACCTGGAGAGTCTGCTGTCAAGTGAGATGGTCCGTAAGAAGCGCGCAGAGTTAGCTCGCAAGTTGGACGCACTCCGGCGCAAGCACGACAAGGACAAGCGACCCACATCCGCTAAGTTCTACGTCAGCAACAAACTCGTCAAGAAACTCTCCTCCAAGAATATGTAAGCCTTGTCCTCTTTTGTTATTTTATGTGTTGTTCTTGATCGACATTGGAATATATTTATTTAATAAAAAAAACCATGTATAAATATTTAATACAGAAGCATTCACTGCCAGCTAAACAGTAAATCACTACTTCGCTAATTAAGATAAGTATCGAATCAGTATTGACTTATATACTAAACGTCATTTAGTCACATGGTAAAGTGAGGTTGTGTTATGAATACTAGATAACTCATATAAATATTTTTTATTTTGTAAGTACTTACAACTATCATAGCCATGAATACAAATCTTTGTACAATTCGAGGAATCGAACCCACGTATACCCGAAACAAAGCGGTGTGCTAAACTGCTATACCATTGGGTCAGGCAAAGTAAAAAAGATTTTTTTATTTAAATAAACTTAAATTTAAACACTATTTAATAGTCATACTTATTTTTTTTTTAATTACTACTCATTCGGAAAGCTGTCTAATCATAAGAAATACGAGCAAGAAACTTGCATGTTACTCTTTTAAATATTCTTTTGTATCTGTCTTCTATATATATTATATATGTATTTACAAAAAAAAAAGTATTTGTATCAATTATCTAATAACCATAACACAAGCTTTGCTTATTGTGCAATTAGATGGCGTAGTGAATGGTCTAGGGGTATTGATATTACTCGACTCTACTCCACCCCTCTTCGCTCCACTCCACTTCACTCAACACCACTTGGTCCAGGGAATATTATTATAACTATTGCTCTACCCCACTCCTCTGCTCTTCACTGCACTGAACACGACTGTACCGTGTCGTGTTGTGGTCAGGTACGGCGGCGGTGCGAGCGGAGAGGCGGGCGCGGGCGCGGGCGCGGGAGCGGGCGCGGGCGCGGAGGAGGCGGCGGGCGGCGAGGCGGGCGCGGAGCGCGAGCTGCGGCTGCGGTACCACCACGCCATCTACGCCGCGCTAGAGAAGCACGTGCGCGGCGACCAGCACCACCAGATGAAGGCGCTCACAGTGCGTACACCTCAATCTATACATATAAATAAATTTGGAGCGTCGGCTTGTAATATTGAAATAACTGTTTTTTACTACATGCCTCTAAATATAAATACGGTACATACACTAAAATATCATTTTTTACTATTTTTGTCTGTCTGTTAGTTCCGGCTTCTCTAAAATGACTGGACCGATTTAGCTGGGACTTTTTTTTTGCATTTAGCTGATGTAATAAGGAGTAACTTAGGCCTACTTTTATTTTAGAAAAATAAAGTTAAATTCCACGCGGACGAAATCGCGGGAATTACTAGTATAGTAATAAATTCACAAGCCACGATCATATACAGGTCATAAATCTTATTTATATTAACAATTAGTGATCGTGTGAGCCTGGGAACTAAATTAGACACCAAGCTTCTCAGCCGAAATTCAAATTCATATTTATAAAAACATTATTTGTTACTGTAATCTTGTTCTTTTTCTAACATTATAATCTCGATATCTGTTGCCTTTATGTTATGTTAAATCACTAAATATATTATATAGTTTTGGTTATGTTGATACTAAAATATATATTATTTGTATTATAGGACTCATTAGAACTGGAGAAGAAAGAGATATTGAATAAGCTTGCGTGTTCGCGAAAAGAAGATGTAAAAGCACTTGCCAAAAAGACTAACAGGGATAAAGATGAAATACTTAGGATAAAGAGGGAAATACATTCTCAAGTGAGTATATAATTTTATCTATAAGCTGCTTTTACATGATACGTTATTTCATACGCGGTCAGGTATGTTCACTCTATTGCATGTGGTTATTTCAAGTCATTTAACTTTCCTTTAAAATTATTTTTTTATTCTACTGATTTTATTTTCCAAAGACAGGTTAAAGTTTCATAAACTATCAATAACTCTATTATTATGTCGCGCGGCACGCGGTCTTTCTCGTTCTCTTTGTCGACATTTACATACACATTCATTCCTACGTGAAAGCCGACATTTTTACGTAACAAATACGATTTATCAGAATAAGCACTCGTTGAAAAGCTTTCACTCTGTATATGTAATCGTGTGCTATTGCGCAGTCTGTGGAGCGCGGTGTCGCCGAGTGCTCACGACTGGAGCAGGCGTACGCGCGGAGACGAGAGACGCTCGCGCGCAGACACGAGCGACTGCGGGCGCTGCTGCAGAAACACAGGGACCAGGTAACATTCATTGTTGTCTATACTAATATCAGCTGGCTACACTGGACTCTGTTGAATGCCGGGCTTTGAGGTTAATTGCCGATGACATTCGTATAAAATATAGACTTCAGAGGCTAGAACGTCGACGCAAAGTGGTTTTTTTTCGGACTACTTTAAAACTGTTGGCCGCAGCTGGTCTGTACAGCTTCACCGGATAGGGGGCGAGTGCAGATGGCACTGCAAACCCGCGGAAGGTCTTATGGAGCAGCTGAAAGCCAATTCCAGCCTGACGGATACGAGTTTAGTCTGAGGGTACCGCTACTGGTTCGAACCTCGGCTTAGGCCGTCGTAATTTCGATCCTTGTTTGTATTGGGCGGGGAATCGATCGGAGGGAAGAAAAAGAGTCCAGTCTGTCGGTGTTTTATAGTATACACTTTGGCGAGTGTGCACAGGATCTGCATAATTTTATTTTGTTTTCCCCTTTTTCTCACCGCACTACACGAGGAACACTAGGACTTCGTCCTTACTTCGTGGAAATTCCGCATATTCGCACCGATATAATGAGGGCAAAACAGTTAGACCATCGTGGCAAATCCTCCAGGAATTTATCACGATGGTTTCCAAGGATAACCGTGTAGAGGAGACCTGATATAATTATAGCTAGCTATATTATTATACGTATTGCTGGATACTTTAGTCTAACATTACTAACAATTCCCTTCCTCCCAATGTTTTGGTTTTTTTAGACTAAGGTTATGTATGTTCTGGAATGTTTCAGGAGCTTTTAGAGTTAGAACGTCTGTGTGGCGGCGCGCCCGAAGGTTAAGGCTGGCCCGATGCCTCCGGCGCCCCGCCCTCGCCTCCCGCCCGCGCCCCGCCCCCGCGTCACTAGGAGCCTCTAGCCCTCGGCTCTGTCTGTACGTACGTGAGTCTCAGCGTCATTGTGTGTTAATTTTGTTTTAGGAATCTGTGATATTATCGCCTAAGGAGCAAAACGTAGGAGTGACTGACGATCGACGCGCTCGTGTCGCCTCCGGACCGCAAGTTACGCCAGTATTGTTTTCTGTAACCGCAATCTCATAGTTTAAGTTGGATTTCTGAGGAGTGGTGTTCCCGAACTGTAGCATGTTTGCGATGTGGAACTCTCGCATTCATATGGAGTTCTCGTGTGCATGTGTCGTTGGAAGTGTATATGTAGGTCGGATATTATTTTACGTCTACGGTCCACACCTGTAAATTATCGTATTCTCGGCAGACATTGTACTATGTTTTCGCTCGATTCGTATACACTGTGTGGTGATTTCGTGATATGTATATAGATATAATGTTCTTCGTATACTTTATCATAAGGAGTGTGTTATGGGACTAAAGCTCGTATTGATGCATTTAATTAATTTATAGTCGATAGGAGTTTGCATGAACTAACGCTTTGGTGGGATTGATAAACTAGTCATCGCTGTCGTCAGTTCGGGAAAGGAGGGCATCCTTTCTAATTTAATACGGACTTTAAGGCTATGTCGGTATAACTTATTATTAAACTCTAAGACGTCTCCTTTCTTCGGGCGATTTAACAACTCTATACATATCTAAAGCACAACAAACTGATTTTCAGTGTTAATCGCGTACCTAATTTTTCCTTGCAATGGTTCTTCCTTTAACTTTATACATAATTATATCTGTAGTTTGTAGAGTTTATTCCAGAGGAAACAAATTATGAAATTGATTCTTATGAGGGTTATTCCAATATTTTTCTGGTTAGTGATTGTGTTTCAAGTTTGTTTTTGTAATTAGTATCGGAAACTAGTGTGCATAGTGTTGTATTTATGAGATTCTTCCGATGTTATATATTATTGATATTGTCATTAGGGGATGATTTATTTCAATTCTAACTGCACTTGTTACAAATTAGGTGTATACAATATTGTGTAATGTATTTTTTTTATAATGATATTTCTGTATGTTTATTTAATTAATTAATTAAACATAATAAGTAACGCGTGATGCTTGTATTCGTGTAGTGTTTATATATTTTGTGGCTTGTTAGTACTAACAGGTAACAGTGAGTGTAGTCTGTAGATTAACATTCCAGGTTTTATTGCATAAAATGTCAGTAGAGGCGATACGAAAGATTGTTCTTGTCATAAAGTAGTCAAATAGCAAAGACATTTGTCTCTTTCAGTCATGTACATTCGCTTTATATGCGATAGGGATAGTTTTATTTGATATTAGCAGTAGTAGGGACGAAGTGTTGTCTCTAAATTTTTTTGCAGGTCAAGTCAATATTCGTGTAGCAATAATTTTAGTGAATGACTTATTTGTAAGTTATGCAGTGGCCTTGTCTATTACATTTTCAATGAAGGGGCTTGGTATTATTGATGGTATTCTTTATAGTAAAAAGATTTTATGCGAATAAACGTGCACGTGAAAGTATTTATTGAATAATTTTTAAGCAAATAAACAAAAATTAGTATTTTATATCTAATTCTCCTATACCTGTCTGTCTGTCAAGAAATTAAACCAAGCCCTTTTTAAGCCCCACTGCCAACTTAGATCTCATATACTCTTTACATTGTCTCTCTCAAGTGTCGATAAAATGAAAGAACACAACAGATAGAAAGATATAGCTTAAAATATGTCATAAATATTTTCTGAATATAGTATTGTGGCATATTGTCTTGAAAGAAATCGTTATTATATAGGAGATATTAGGACTTGGCCGACTGTATATAAACCTGTTTGATATATTTAGTATATTTTGAATTCACTGCATGTTACTTTTCATTCAAGTTCTATAAAATCTATCTGATTTATATTATTGCAGGTAAATATTATTAATTCATGCCTGTTCTCATAAATATATATTATACTAAACACTTATTAATATTATGTTATATGGTGCTGTTTGGATGTATAGGTTCAAAGTACTTAACTATAATGGAATTTAATATATAAAAATGCAGTGTATTATTAATACAAATATGTATTTATATATTTTTCATAGAGCTTTTCACAATCCACTTAGAAAAAATATTAATCTTTCCATAGACATATATATTAAATATATACATTGATGAATTTATTTTATTAAAGGTATGGTTTTTGCTCAAAATTGGTTAATAACTTGTCTTCTCTTAGTCAACAAATACCAAATCTAAACATGGAAAAGAAAAGATTATTATCGGATATTCATTGTTTTCTAAATTGAATATTTAAAGTTATTTAATTAAAACTATATCTGTTCTCTATATGAAATTATTATTTCACACCTAAATGTACAATTTCGTTGACAATAATAAATTGTCATATTACAGAAATAGTTATTAATTAATCCAAATCGAAAAAATCAAAATATCTTTATTCATATAAGTCTGTTACAGACTCTTATAATATGTCAAATGTACCAATTCGGATTGCTTTTGAGGTAAGAACTGACAAGAAACTTAGCTCTTATACTTTTCAAATTAAACCTTGTACATGATTAGAGAAAACATCCTCTGAGCACAATAATTTAAATGTAATTATTTCCACATGATTTATTAAAATATTCTGTCCAATTTAAATATCGAAACTTGCAATAATATACAACTCATATATATAGGAAGCTATGTTGAATGAGTTGAGTATGTATTATATATTATAGTTATATATTCCTATGGATGTAATAATTTATATTAATACAGTATCAATTTTATGATTCAACTAGTAGTTTATGGTAATGAGTTTTAATTAAAGGAATTAATTACAATCTATATCAATGAATACCTCTTTTCGCTAAAATGTGCTTATGAATAAAATATTTCTGATGACTGACTGACTTATGTATTCGCTGTACCGATATGAATACGATATTTAAACGTTTCTATACTAAGTATGAAGCTATTGTTATAACAAAGATTATGATTGATTGGTTACCTCAAGTTATATGAGCCTCAACGTCACTATACACATATTATACTATATTTTCTGCGCACGTATACTTTTATAAAATTAATTAAATTATTATAATATTGATAAGTATGCACTAAAACTTAATACATATAAATCAAACAAAACTTTATGAAAATAAACATATATTAATGATACATTAAAATAAAAACTTTAATCCTCCTTATTCATTGAAACTTAACGTGTAATAATCCTATTTTAGCTAATGAACGGAGTTGTCTTTTTCTTTTGAGTTATTTCCATTACTTTGAGAGAGTGTGAGAAAATACTAGTACAAATATTCCCTAATTGTGCGTCACTATCCCAGATTCTTCGCAAAACCTTCAGAGTCGTGGTTTAAGAAATTAAGCCCAAATCCGTTTAATTAATTATAACTATTGTTTCTCCTTTTAGCAAATAATAATTATTGGATTAAATAATCTAAAATAAAAGTTGAAAAATTCAAAACCTTATGGAAATAACATTAAAAAAATGGCAACCTCGGCTCTAGTAGTCAAAATGAGATTGTAGGTTTAAGTTTTTTTGAATAAGGTTATAATTTAATGAATGACCTCATCTAGCCATTATCTAGGTTAGTCCAGTCCAGTTAATTAGAAAAAAAAACAATAAAAATAGAAATTCTAATTCTGTCCCTGACCTGCCTTGAGACCTATTTTAGAACCCGTTTGAGCCTTTTTGTTAGCAATATAGTTAAATGTTTCGTACAAAATCTTCTAGTTATTGGAATTTAAAAGTGCCATGGTCACAAAAGTTTTTCTATAATGTTAAGTAGTCATATTTTAAACCCCTTATAGTTAATGAAAATGTTATATATAATATTAGAATTATTTATGATGTTATAACAGGTTTTTCGGATTGTTCACAGATTTTTAAGGCTATATTTTTTGTTTCCTAAATGTAATTCGGATTTCGTGTCTACTAAAATTGTATTAAGCGCGCACTGGTTTGATTTAAGCATCAAGCAATCGTCTATTAGGTTTGGCTAAAACTGTAAGTTTTGTTGTATGTTATAAAAAGTATGGATGGCGTCATAAATAGTTCTAATTTAATTTCATAAAGTAAAAATTGAAGAAGGGAATGCTTACCGTCTCTATGACTATATTTATTGATATTTCTATACTTATAAGTGTTTACTGGTATGTAGACACTTAGTTATATATATACATACAAAAGTGAAGTGTATATGCGTAGCTGTATGTTGTATAACTTATAGTTACAGAGCCTTTACTATATATCTGTATATAATAATATATTCTTAAGTATATATATTTCTTGATCGTTCCAAGTTTTGGATCAAATACCTTTTTTATTTCTATTCTATATACTAGCAGTCTGACGGAACCGAGCTTATGTAATTATTTATGATCAAGAGTAGACTTGCTTACTTAATGAGAGTAATCGATCTTTAGTTTTTAGTAGCAAATTGTGTAAATTATAGTGATGTTTTATGCTTATTGATAAAGGTACGTAGACTAGTGTTGGTCAGCTGCTATTGATCGTTTAATCCGAATGGATAGTGATGTCTGTAGGAAAGACAGTAGGTCGCTTAATAACCAATCATGTTTATAAAGGACGAGTTAGATTATGAAAGCTCAAACACATTTCGTTGATAAATTTGGTATCATTGAATTTATCAAAATACAAACGCAGGGTTTCAAATACATATTAACTGTAGTTTTGTTAGAACTAGTATTCAACCGTTGATTATATGATATAAATGTTTGTATTATTAGTTTGTCGTATGCTATTATATCTGTATTTATATATATTTTCTTAATATATTAGTATTATATTAGTACTCAGTTTTTCGAATACAGTTTAATACCCTGGACGTTTGAGACTTGGTTTCTATGTTATTATTTATATATTTTTTCCGTTTTA